TGCACAGACCAGTTTGCGCAGAGCGCCTTGCCTAGAACAACTTGCGCAGAGCAACTTACTTGCACAGAGCAACTTGCACAGAGCAACTTGCAGGGAGCAACTTGCAGGAAGCAATTTGCACAGAGCAACTTGCAGGGAGCCACTTGCAGGGAGCAATTTGCACGGAGCAACTTGCGTTGAGCAACTTGCGCAGAGCAACTTGCACCGAGCAACTTGCGCAGAGCAACTTGCGCAGACCAACTTGCACAGACCAGTTTGCGCATAGCACCTTGCCCAGAGCAACTTGCGCAGAGCAACTTGCACACACTGCAACTCGCACAGAGCAACCTGCGCAAAGCAACCTGACGCTGTCTCGCGCTTGCTTCACGAATGCTTTGTGTAGGGAAAAAGAACGCATCCTGCAGCGTTTGGCCGACCTCGCTTGCGATGTTATGCTTTCGGGCCAACCGTGGTCTAGTTGTTGGGTTCACCAAAAATCCTACCAAAAATCGAGTTCGGCCAGGACCATTGAGGCCTGCGTGCTAAGCAGGTTTCCATATTTCCCACGTTTGCACCCGCCCAAAACCTTCAAACACACTGTGCTTTTCCACGTGTTCGGCCAAATTGGCCCGACTTAGGGGACAACATCCCCAGCATCCCCCGCATCACCGGCATTGTCCGCGTCAATGTCCGCCATGGATCCCCCGCATCCCCGGCATGATACGCATCAATGTCCGCCATGGATGCGGACAGCGCGGCTATGCTACTCCCTTTTTAAAAAAATGCGCCCGAACACGCTTTCCTTACTGGCAGCGAGTTTCAACACGGAGTGAACCGGAATCGACCGGGGGTGAACCGGGGGTGAACCGGAATCGACCGGGGGTGAACCAGGGTGAACACGGGGGTGGGCACCCGCCCAAAACCTTCAAACACACTGTGTTTTTCCACGTGTTCGGCCAAATTGGCCCGACTTAGGGGACAACATCCCCAGCATCCCCCGCATCACCGGCATTTAAGAACGTCCAACACCAATGCTCCGAGCCTTCAGAAAGGCCAAATGCACGCAGCTGGTTTTCAAGGACTATTTATCTTCAGAGAAGCAACTGGTATTCAAGGACTATTTATCTTCATGAGTTGGCTGCACACACCCCTGATGCCTGAAACTGAAGCTGTGGGCCCCAAAAATTTGGGAAATTAGCAGTCATGACGATAATCATGTCCACAGATCTCTTGCATCTCAAATCTCTCAAACCGGATGACAATCATCACGAGCAGTCATGATGATACACATCTCTTGCATCTCAGGTCGGATGATAATCATCACGACGCATCCTCAGCATCACCAACAGTCACGATGATAATTGTGACTACGCAGCTTCTGCATCCCCACTTTTCTAACGAAACATGTGAAACGTATATGAAAAGATGAGGACGATGACGAAGAAGATGATGATGATGAGCGCCATGAGGATGATGGCGAAGCTGATGATGATAATCATCCAACACATCCTCAGATGATGACAATCATCTCCTCAAATCGGATGATAATCATCACAACGCATCCTCAGCATCACCAACAGTCTTGATGGTAATCGTGACTACATCTCCAATCGGAACAATTGAAACGTATATGAATAAGATGAGGACGATGACGAAGAAGATGATGATGATGAGGACCATGAGGATGATGATGAAGCTGATGATGATGAATCGATATGACAATCATCACGACGCATCCTCAGCATCACTAGCCTCAGCATCTCTATCAATCATGATGATAATCATGTCCACGCAGCTCTTGCGTCTCAAATCGGATGATAATCATCACGACGCATCCTCAGCATCACCAACAGTCATGATGATAATCGTGACTACGCATCTTCTGCATCTCCAACCGGGTCTAACGGCACATTTGAAACGTATATGAAAAGATGAGAAGCTGACGAAGATGATGAGCGCCATGATGATGATGTCCGCGCGACGGACAAACCTGGTTGATCCTGCCAGTAGTCATACGCTGGCCTCAAAGATAGGCCATGCGTGTGAATGCCTCAGCATCACCAGCAGTCATGATGGTTCTCATGCCCACGCATCCTTCACATTTCGATTATCGGATGATAATCATCACGACGCATCCTCAGCATCAACAGCAAGGAGTCATGATGATACTCATGTCCACGCATCTCCTGCATCTCAAACTCGGATGATAATCATCACGACGCATCCTCAGCATCACCAACACTCCAATCGGCTCCAACGGCACATTTGAATCGCATATGAAAAGGATGAGGACGATGACGAAGAAGATAATGAGCGCCATGATGATGATGTCCGCGTGATGGACAATCCTGGTTGGTCCTGCCAGGAGATAGGCCATGCGTGTGAATGATTATGACGATGATGATGATGACGACGATGATATCGCGACGCATCCTCAGCATCACCAACAGTCATGATGATAATCGTGACTAACGTATCTTCTGCATCTCCAATCGGCACTCGGCGCATTTGAAACGTATATGATGAGAAAGATGAGGGCGATGACAAAGAAGGTGATGATGATGAGCACCATGAGGAGACCCGCGTGATGGACAAACCTGGTTGATCCTGCCAATAGTCGTATGCTGGCCTCAAAGATGGGCCACGCGTGTGAATGATTATGACGATGATGATGATGACGATGATAATCATCACGACGGATCCTTTGCATCACCAGCAGTCATTATGATACTCATGTCCACTCGTCACGACGCATCCTCAGCATCAACAGCAAGCAGTCATGATGATACTCATGTCCACGCATCTCCTGCGTCTCAAATCGGATGACAATCACCACGACGCATCCTCAGCATCACGAACAGTCATGATGATAATCGTGACTACGCATCTTCTGCATCTCGAATCGGCTCGAACGCAACATTGGACACGCGTATCAAAAAGATGCGGGCGATGACAAAAAAGACGATGATCATGAGCGCCATGAGGATGGTGATGAAGGAGATGATGATGAATCGATACGACAATCATCAAATCGGATGATAGTCATCACTGCGCATTCTCCGCGTCACCAACAGTCATCATGATATTCGTGACTACGCTTCTGCATCTCCAACCGTCTCTCACGGCACATTTGAAACGTATATGAAAAAAGATGAGGACGCTGACGAAGAAGGTGATGATGATGAGCACCATGATGATGATATCCGCGTGATGGACAAACCTGGTTGGTTCCTGATGCGTGTGAGTGATTATGGCGACGATGATCATGATGACGAGGATGATATCGCGACGCATCCTCAGCATCACCAGCAGTCATAATGATACTCATGTCCACGCATCTTGTACATCTTAGATCGGATGATAATCCTCACGACACATCCACAGCATCAACAGCAAGCCTGATGATACTCATGTCCACGCATCTCCTGCATCTCAAATCGGATGATAATCACCACGACGCATCCTCAGCATCAACAGCAAGCAGTCGTGATGATACTCATGTCCACGCGTCTCCTCCATCTCAAATCGGATGAGAATCATCACGACGCGTCCTCAGGATTACCAGCAGTCATGATGATAATCGTGACTACGCATCTTCTGCATCTCCAATCAGCTCCAACGGAACATTTGAATCGTATATGAAAAAGATGAGGACGATGATGAAGCTGATGATGATGAATCGATATGGCAATCATCACGACGCATCCTCAGCATCACTAGCCTCAGCATCACTAGCACTCATCACAACGCATCCTCAGCATCATCCGCGTGATGGACAAACCTGGCTGGTCCTGCCACTTGTCATAAAGATTAGGCCATGCGGGTGCATGATTATGACGATGATGATGACATCGCGACGCATCCGCAGCAACCAGCAGTCATGATGATTCTCATGTCCACGCATCTCTTACATTTCGACTATCGGATGATAATCATCAGGACGCATCCTCAGCATCAACAGCAAGCAGTCATGATGATACTCATGTCCACACATCTCCTGCATCTCAAATTGGATCATAACCATCACGACGCATCCACAGCATCACCAACAGCCATTCTGCTTGAACGGAAATTTTAACCGTGTATGAGAAAGATGGACGATGACGAAGAAGAAGATGATGATGATGAGCAGCATGGATGATGATGAAGCTGACGATGATGAATCGACATGACAATCATCACGACGCATCCTCAGCATCACTCGCCTCAGCGTCACTGGCAATCATGATGATAATCATGTCCACGCATCTCTTGCATCTCAAATCGGATGATAATCATCACGACGCATCCTCAGCATCACCTACAGTTAAGATGCTAATCGTGACAACGCATCTTCTGCATCTCCAATCGGCTCTAGAAACGTATTTGATACAGGTCAGGACGATGACAAAGAAGGTGATGATGATGATCACCATGATGATGATACCCGCGTGATGAACAAACCTGGTTGATCCTGCCAGTAGTCATATGCTGGCCTCAAAGATTAGGCCATGCGTGTGAACCATTATGACCATGATGATGTGGATGCTGACGATGATGATGAACCAAGATGATAATCATCGCGACGCATCCAGAGCATCAACAGCAGTCATGCTGATGCTCATGTCCACGCATCTTTTACATCCCAAATCGGATAACAATCATCACTCAGCATCAACAGCAGTCAACATGATACTCACGTCCGCGCATCTCTTGCGTCTCAAATCGGATGATAATCATCATGATAATCCTGCCCACTCAAGTCGGATGAAAATCATCACGACGCATCCTGCTAATCATGACTACATCTAACCGAACGTTTGAAACGTATAAGAGATGAGGACGATGACGAAGAAGGTGATGATGATGAGCACTATGATGATGATATCCGCGTGATAGACAAACCTGGTTGATCCTGCCAGTAGTCATACGCTGGCCTCCAAGATGATAAGGATTATCCTTCTGCTCATTTACCAACTAACCTTGGACTTGTGCTGTAACCTTTGAGAAGAAGGGTTCGGCAGATTTAGTCCGTTCGGCAGGCTCTCATCGAGTCCTTGGCCAGTCTGCCAGCGATACCGGAAGTGAACCGTGGACCACTTCAAGGCAATTCGACCTTGAGTAACATTTGCATTGCGTGGATATTGGAGACCGATTCATGTATGGTTTCATACGCAGGGAACGAACTATTGCTGCACTTTTTCTGACTGTCCAAGCGCCGTGCAATCTGTGTTTGTCAGGTGGCCGTTTGGCGCACCCTCGCCCGAAGTGCCCGAGGCTTGGCAACCTGTCTACTCTCTCCGCCACAGTGGCTTGTTCTGGGATCTGGCCACTAGGTGCCCAGTGTCCGCGGTGCTTGGGCTTAGATCAGAGCGCTTAGATCAGCATTTGCCAGGCTGAGCCCCTGCTGCCTTGCAGCAAGTGTGGGCGCTCTTTCTGGGCAAGAAGGCTTGAGGCGAGACTGTCGAGCAGCCCAGACGGCGTGGGTTCCATGAGTGAACATGCGCTATTCTACAAAGCAGTTTGAGCGCAAGGTTCACGAGCCGGGTTGCAAAGCTGTACCTCGCCAGGCGTGTGGGGAAGATAAGAGATTGTGTCGTTCCGAATTTGACACTTGTCGAGGCCAAGCGAGGCGTCTTCGAGTCGCGACGCCAGCGCCTCCGCGATCTTCCTGTGGCACAGGCTACAGGGCTGAACATATGTGTGCGCGTGTGCGCTTGCAACATGGCATGTCATGTCCTGTAAAACTCTTGGGCCTGCCTTGCCAGATGTGTGTGTTGCAGATTGTTATTTTTGATGGATGGCCGATGCGATTCGGCTCGATCCGATTTTTCGATTCGAACCCATTCGACCGATCCGATTCGACCAACCCTCAAGGCTCCGGGGGCACAACTGATGGAAGTCTCCAGAAACAGCATGCTCCCAGATGTGTTTTCCCGGCCCCGAAAAATGCATCTAGACAAGCGGTGGATTCTCAAGGCAGCTCCTAGAAGCAGCATGCTCCCAGATGCGCTTTCTCGGCCCTGAAAAATGCATCTAGACAAGAGGTGAATTCTCAGGGCAGCTCCCAGAAGGAGAATGCTCCCAGCTGCGTTTGCAAGCAGTGGATCCTAGAAGGAGCTCCTAGATGCGTTTTGCCGGCGCCGCAAAATGCATCTAGACAAGCGGGTTCTCAAGGCAAGGCAGCTCCTAAGAAGCGTGCTCCGCTCCTAGAAGGAGTCCCAGCTGCGTTTTCTCGAGCGGTGGGTTCTCAAGGCAGCTCCTAGAAGGAGCATACTCCCAGATGCGTTTCCCGGCCCCGAACAATGCATCTAGACAAGAAGGGGTGGAGTCTCAAGGCAATTCCTACACTGAGCATGCTCCCGGATGCGTTTTCCTGCCCCCTAAAAATGCATCTAGACAAGCGGCCCCGAGATTCTCAAGGCAGCTTGTAGGAAGGAGCATGCTCCCAGATGCATTTTCCCGGTCCCGAAAAATGCATCCTGCGTTCGGATTATCAAGGCAGCTCAGAAGGAGCATGCTCCTAGATGCGTTTTCCCGGCCCCCAAAAATGCATCTAGAGATTAGCGAATTCTCAAGGCAGCTCCTAGAAGGAGCATGCTCCCAGATGCATCTACACAAGCGGTGGCCCCGAAAAATGCATCTAGACAAGCGGTGTTCCTCAAGGCAGCTTCTAGAAGGAGCATACTCCCAGATGCGTTTGTTTGTCCAGCCCCGAAAAACGCATGTAGACAAGCGGCGGATTCTCAAGGCAGCTCCTAGACGGAGCACGCTCCCAAATACATTTTCCCGGCCCCGAAAAAGGCATCTAGACAAGCGGTGGATTCTCAAGGCAGATCCTAGAAGGAGCATGCTCCCAGATCCCGAAAAATACATCTAGACAACCTCTTACTACTACTACTACTACTACTACTACTACTACTACTACTACTACTACTACTACTACTACTACTACTACTACTACTACTACTACTACTACTACTACTACTACTACTACTACTACTACTACTACTACTACTACTACTACTACTACTACTACTACTACTACTACTACTACTACTACTACTACTACTACTACTTACTACACTACTACTACACACTATCACTATGACTATTACCATTACGAACGCTAATACCACTACTACCACTGCTACCGAAACGCATTTTGACGTCTTGCCGGGCTATTTCAACTGCCACTACAACTGCTACAATGCTACAACGGCTACTGCGAAATGAAAACCAGGTCTAAGTGCGTGTTGCCGGGCCGAAAAAACGCATTCATTCTTGCCAAAACCATGGCCCAGGGCCAACTCCGGACACGAGCATAGGAACGAAAGGAGCATGAGGTGTAGATGCGTTTTGCCGGGCCGAAAACACGCATCTATCAGGCTAAAGGAAAATCAGGTGTAGATGCGTTTTGCCGGGCCAAAAAAGCGCATCTGCTTTTCATTCTTACCCAGACCATGGTTTAGGGCCAACTCTGGAAACGAGCGTAGAACGAAAGGAACGGTAGGTGTAGATGCGTTTTGCCGGGCCGGAAAAGCGCATCTTGCTTTCTTCCGGAAACCATGTTCTAGGGCCAACTGCGGACACGTGCATAGGAACGAAAGGGGCATGAGGTGTAGATGCGTTTTGCCAGCCCATAAAGCGCATCTGGCGTGTTTCCGGGCGAGTTCTACTACTGCTACTACTGCTACTACTACTACTACTACTACTACCACTATTCCCACTGCTACCGCTATTCCTGCTACTACCGCTACAACTGCTAGCACGAAAACAGCACGAGGTCTAAATGCCTTTTGCCGGGCCAAAAAAACGCATTTGACGCCTTGCCGGGCTATTTCAATTACTACTACCACTGCTACTACTACAAAGACTACTACGAAAGGAAAACGAGGTCTAAGTGCGTTTTGCCAGGCCAAAAAAAAGCATCTGGCTTTCATTCTTGCCAAAACCATGACGAAGGGCCAACTCTGGAAACAAGCGTAGGAACGAAAGGAACATGAGGTGTAGATGCGTTTTGCCGGGCCGAAAACACGCATCTGGTTTTCATTCTCCCCGCAAACCATGGCCCAGGGCCAACTCCGGAAGCGAGCGTAGGAACGAAAGGAGCGTGAGGTGTAGATGCGTTTTGCCAGGGCGTAGTAGTAGTAGTGGTAGTGGTAGTAGTAGTAGTAGTAGTAGTAGTAGCATCAGAAGTAGTAGGAGGAGCAGGGCCTCGCCGCTCAGGCTCACGCGGTGGACAACGACTGGTCAAATTGCGTTTTCCGGGCCCGATTTAATGCATCTGCACATTTTGACCGATTCGATTCGATACCGAAAGCGATTCGAATCCGGTCGCGAAAGGGGGCCGGCCATTCATGTTTTTGCAAAAGCAGTGATGCACCGATCCACTCAGGCCGTTGCAAATTGGCACATTGCAAATGGATGGAACGATGGCACGCCTATAAATCAAGTTCTCTCCGAGAAGCTGTTGGTTGCCCGTTGAGTTATGAACGATGTTTTTGCAGGATTTTTGCAGATACGTGTTTAATCAAACATTTGCAATGTGTCAAGATCCACTCGGTCGAACTGTGACAATTCTGCATTGGGTAGGGGGAGCAATCACATTGGCAGGCTATATCTGCTGTGAACGGAGCGCCAGACAAAGCTGCCGTGACACCAAAGCAGCAGCCTCTTGGCAGGTTTCACACTTCATTGCGGTTAGCACCTTGGCACAAATTGAAAGGATCAATTGGAACCTGCAGATTTGAGAGAGAGGGATATCCGAGAGAGGGAGAGAACAATTGTCCTGGCCGGCCACACGGAAATCTGGAATTCGCTTAAACCCAGGAAAGGAAAAACCGTGGCCTGGCTGCACGACACTACTTGGCAGAGTTGCGACAGGGTCATCAGCGTTGGCAAACATGTTGAACTGATTGCTGTGTTGGCTTCCCATGCTCATGTCTTCGCCAGAAAGTCAGGACGACGTGGTTACACCTGTGAAACTGACGCTTGGCAGATCTTAACTTGGTTTCCCGCAAAAGCCTTGGCCTTGCCAGCCTTGTTCTCGAAGCAGTGCCGCAATTCTGTGTGTGTTTTTTGTGGCACCTGCGCGCATAAGGAAGGCAGGGAAGGCGACAAAGGTCAGTCCAAGCCCAGAGGCGCAGAAGCAAGAGATAGGCATTGAAGTCATTGAATTTCTGTACCAAATTGAACGGGCTTGATGGCAGGTAGGGGGCAGGCTTCGAGGACGAGACAATGCTGACAGCCTGCATGCTAACAGCTTGATTTGCCAGTCTGAGCAACAGGCTTTGCCTGGCATTTGGTGCAAGGACGCAAAGTACTTGACACTCCGCCAAAGAAACTCGGCAAAGGACGTGAGAAGGGAGCCACAAGGCGATGTATTCAGTTGCGGGAATGGCTTTTACATCCCGATTCACAGCATGGAAATGGTTCTGAGGTCACACAGGTCACAGAAACCTGAGAGAGTCGACGAGTCATTCCAGCACCTTACCTTGGCCATATCAAGACATATCACGAAGGCTATGAGGGATTCGGTGTGAAGTTGCGGAGCCATTGCTTGAGGCACACTCCTTCACCGAGACCTGTGAAGCTGGCGGAGGCGAGGTGGCAACCTGAGGCGGGTAACGTGTGACACCGTGCAAATGTGCTCATTCGACTTTGGCAGACTCCAGAGCTGAGCCTGCTGGCAAGCGTCGTGAGCCAAGTGCAGTCGGAATTGGAACAGAGTTTCCACGTGTTTGATCACGTGCAAGCAAGACATTAGACTAGAGCTGGACAAGCCAGTGGTGCTTCCGTGCCTGTGCCTCTTGCTCGCAGCCGGCCTTGTGCGGCAGCGCCGCGCAGAATGATCCCCTATCTTTATCCTGTCACCGGCTGCGAGGTGAACACCTGTCGCGTGCTCGTGATGCTGGTGGTCGCTCCAGCCAAAGATTGCTTTGGCTGGAGCGTAAAGCGTGTAAATCCGGCGCCGTAAACGCGTTGCGCGTTGCAGCGCGCAAAGCGCGCTGGAAGATCGCTTCTTTCGCACTTAAGGAGTGAGGGCAGGGCGTCATCATGTTCAACCTTTCAAAAGCCTATATCATTCCCCTTGTGTGTGTTCCAGCATCTAAAAAGCCGGAGTGCCCTGGCAGCGTCCAAACAGCGCCGTGTGGCGGAAGACTTTGATGTAGAGCGTGGGATGTTACTTTCAAAACAACCCTGTTCCAAAGCAAATGCAGCTGCGACTGAAATGTGCAAGTACACAAGGCAGCTCCCGCAAGCAGTTGCTGTGCGGTGCCCAAGCACAATCAGAGCACAATAGCCTGGCGTGCAGGAAGATCGCTCTTTGTTTGGTGCGCAAAAGGCGGGCGCGGGACGTCGGTTTCAAACCTTATTCAAAGGCAAACATGAATATGCGCGCAACTCGCGCAGAAAATGAACGCATGAAACATGCTCCGCAGCGCCAAATTACTCTGTCGCGACCTGTCTCCATCAGCGATCTTGTCCATCGCCGCTGATCTGTCACAGCTACTCGGGCTGAGACGCAGTGGGAGAGAATTTGCGGCTCGTGGTTAACAATTTCGGGCTTTAAAACGGCAAGGTGTCAAGAGAGATTGTTGCATGGTCGTTGGGACACCAGAAACAGGGTGCCCTTCTTGGACAACCTCAAGAAATCCGGATTAGCCTAAATGCTCCCTCCTCATCCTAGATCACCTGCACGACCCCCTGTCCACGCCGTCATCCCATGGTCCACTTCCTGTCGCCCGCCCGGACAAACTCTGACCAATGGGCCTCACTAAATCAAATTTCAATCAAAAAGACACGGTGGAAGGATCAACAGCGGCCTTGTTGACCAGCGGTTGTTAACGCAGAGCGGGCTTGCCGCCCAGGAGAGAGGAGGGCCCATCTCAAACGAGTCCCAGGCAGGAGCGGCTTTGCAAGCGCTGTATGCCACCCTCACATGCACAAGTGACGACATGCTCTACTTCTTGGTTGCCGCATGGCAGTACGGTCTATTCATTGAATTGTGGACTTGCTTCAGAGTCTGCTACGAGGCTTGTGTTGCTGGACTTTGGAACAGACATGGATTCACAGCAAAAAGACTCATCAGACGCACTGAATGGATGAATCAATGAAGAGTGCTCTATTGAGCTTCCACGTCAGTAGGTTTGCCGCAAGCTATTACACATGTTAGTGCGAGTGTGTGTAAACTGTACATATATATACATAATATAGTTGTTTTTTGTGTCTGTAAGCTTTTGTGCATACAAGTATGTTCGATTTCAATATAATATGCATTTGGTCCCCCACACCCCCCACGGCCCACCTCCAGCCTTCCAGCTCTGAAACCTGGAAAGATGCTTCTTGTTGTCGCAATAACCCCAGAAAGCTAAGATTTTATCCTTGGTGTTTTTGGTTTTCCAACAGCAACCAAGAATTCCTTGGTACTTGCGCTGCACAAACCAAGCGTTCCCCAAAGTTTCCTCAAAAGTATTGGGGTTCTTGTCTTTTTGGCTGAGCAATCAAAGAAGACATTGCTGGGGGATGTCGAATTGCTGCAAGCCTGCTTTTCTTGTTCACCTTGTTTATGGTCCGCGCTACAAGATATTGTTGAGATTGTGTTTAACTATGTTTAGGAACAGCTGATGGCATTACATATACAAATACCTATACATGAAGTTGTTTCGTGAGATCACTCAAGAAATTGTACATCAAGAAATTACAATATACTTGTTGTAGGGGGTAGCGCAAGACCTACTTGGTTTAAACTCAGGAAGCAGACTTTGAATAAAACACCATGGTATGAATCACCTCTAGTCAGTGGAAGGCATTTATATTGGCTAATGGGAAGTCAAACAGAACACCCGACTTTAAGAGTATAAACGATTTAATATATCCTTACTATTTTGTCTTTGCAATTGCTTTTGCTACAGTATGCGCCAATGGGTTATATTGGACAGTTAAAACATATGGAATGAATAGTCGAAATGAAACAACCACAATGATAAAGCTAGTTGCTTAGCTTTTGGTGTTTTAAGATTCGAAACTACTTGTGAATGTAAAGTGGGTGATCGTATAGGTATATTATATGGTATGTAGAAGAATGAGTTAAACGTATCCAACAAAGTCCATATACGCTGTGAAAGAGAACTTAAACATCACACACTGATGAATGTGAACTTTGTTTCGGTTACTAGTTGTCCAAGAGAAAGTGGGAATTGTCTAAGCCAAAATTACCGCAGCCACAGGACATTATAAATCAATCTATCGTGAACATATTAATAACTATAGTTGTATAATGTACTGAACATATGTGTTCACAATGATCAACAAGACAGTAGTATCAAGCTCACTGAAACAACCATACATAAATTAAGGTTTGACATATGTTGGTGCTGAGTTATTAGGTAGTACATGATGCCAATCTACATTTAACTATCGTAAAATAATGCTGATACCAAACATAGTGCCAATAGTAGTAGCAGAGTGTTAGCGCAGTGTATTGGCTTAGGCCAAATTTAATAGGTTATTGTTAGGGGGCTAAACAAGAAAGATTTGAAGAAACCAAAATAGACGTAAGGCACACAAAGAACGATAAGTTTGACACATGGTATGGCAGTTAGACGATCTGGGCAAGGAATCATAATAGTTGGCTTACATGATGTCGCAAATACAAGAACAACCACCATAATTTTGAGCATATTAATAAACCATGTTATAATTGATAATTTGGAATGCATCACCATGATGATTACAATTAAATTCAAATTAGTCAGAATAAGATATCATAATACAAGATGTGATAGTGATGAAAAATCCTGGGTGCTTGTGTCATGGTTTTTCAGAGCTTCAGGTGGGTCATGGGGATATGTGCAAACACGTGTATATATATATATATTATGTGTCCACCCTCCCATGTAAGCGTCCTGTCAGGAGACGCTAGCAGCAAGATCTGGAAACGCCTCTTTGGAGATGGCAAACTCAATTGCGTTTGAGGCGGGAAGGCTGGCTTTGGTATACTGTACCTGACCTGGATTCTGTTGCTGCATTGGTTGCGAAAAAGATGTCAGGGTTTCGCGTCGCTCTTTGCAGTGCCTCAGGCAGCTTGCGCAGACTCGCCCAGTGACAGGGATGTCGAGGAGATACTGGCTCTCGGTCGCCTTCGTGGCCGATTGTGCTCAGCATGGGGCTGTGAGGAGCTCGATTCTTTGTCGCCGCTCCGAATCGGTCCTATCCTAGATGACGAGGCCTTTAGAGTGCGGCGCCGTTACCGTCCGTTGCCATCGCTGTATCCTCACACAACTGTTTGTGGTTTGCAGAGGCTGCTCAGTCTGACTTCGCTGCATTAGATGACAACATCAGAGACGATCAGGCTGGCGCGCATGTGTGAGTTTACTGTCACGTCTTGCGCAGATTGCCAGTTGCGTGCTGCGCACCAGACTCGCCTTCCACTGAGAGCTCTAACCACATTTGAGAGGAAGGGCGTGCTTTGCGACGCCTGGAGAGGGAGTGCAGAAAGTTTCACGCGGCGCATCTCCCCCCAGCTATTGTCGGCGTCGCTGCTACCTTTCTACGCCGGCAGAAGAATGGATCGGGATTTCAGCATAGCAAGTTTGCAGCGCAAGTTAAGCCTTGGCTGTGCAAAAGCAGATGGCCTTCTTACCTTTCTGACATGACGCGTCCTTGGTTTTGCTGAGCTTGTGGCCGGGCGTGATTTCTCAGATAGGACATTGGTTGCCCTTGCTTTGGAAATCTTGCGCTGTATCATTTGTGAGGGAAAACAACCAGAGATGTGTATTACTGTAGGACAAACTGCGCAGAGAGATCAACTCACCTGTTAATAGAACATGGAAGGCCTTCCCCGCACATGTCAATGTAGCGGCAAAGGATCCCTTGCAGCTTTTTCCTCTGCATTTTCCAGAACGCAGCGATGGCGTCCCACTTAACTTTGTGGGGGTCTGGGGCTCGTTGTCTCAGCGCTTGCAACTGCTCTCTGGTATGGCGACCAAAATTTGCTTCCGCCAGAATGTTGCGTGAATCGTATAGCCTTGCGGCTGCGTCGGCCGTGCGACATTGGGATTTGCATCTCGGGGATGTGTGCGGGAGTTTTCTTGAGTGGATGTCGGCGAGTCAGTGGGTGTGTGTGTGTTTTTTGGTGGAAAAGGTTATGCTGAACCCTTCGGTCTTTAAAAGAAGAGGTTTTGCATGTAGAAAGGTGGGCCCTGGGGGGGATGGCTGAGAATACTGTATATATATATATATATACATACATACATATTCTATGTGTGGCTGCGGTGAATGGCGTTTTTCCACGAACCCCGCCGCTACCCTAACGGGGTGTTGGGGGCCGGTTGGGCGGGTGGACGCTGCGCTTGCAGGCCCTGGAGGAGATGTCCGCTGAGAAGCTATTCAACCGTTGGATTCGGTGCCTCAGCTCACATCGCAATGTGCCAAGTAAGGCTGTGCCCTCGGATCTTGGGGCTGCTGTGGAGACAAGTTAAGTCTCAAAGTGTGGTCTGCTATCCTTGCATTACCTGCGGCATCCTAGGTGCGAGACTGGTGAGCCTGATGAATATTCAGGCGAGACTTCAAAGACTCAAGCCACAATGACGGAGCATGGTCATGAGTTTGTTTTTTGTTTGCGCGTGGAGGTGCAACCTTGTATAACCCGTGCATAGAGCAACATGCATGGCCTGGCAGGAAGAAATGAGGAAAGTGTGTGAAGGACTCAGTCATGCGGACAAAGCCTTGCGCAATCTTTTTGAAAGTGCGTCCAGTTTAGCACCAGCAACAACCAGCTGCAATGTGCCAAATTGCAGTTGAGGACTGAACCTCTCCCTGCTCGGTTGGCCCTCGCGCGGGAACCTAGGAATGCTGATCCTGAGCCAGAGAGCGAAGGCTCAGACGACTTGTCGGAAATCGATTTGAACGGAGGGATAGTGTTGAATGTGTTGAAGCGATTCAGGTCTCCGAGGCAGCGGCGCTTTGCGCTGAGGTTGATGCGTTGCTGGGCCAAGGCACGCCAAATAAGCTTGATGATAGGCTGTACCCCCTGAGGGAGCCCCAAAATACTCCTCGTCAAGGACACTGTTCGGGTGGAATAGGGCAAAAGCCTCCCAAAACACGAAGGCGACCCTTAGAAACGAAGCTTGCCACAAGGTGAACACCCCTGTAAAACGAAGGCGACCCTTTAAACGAAGCCTCCGGACATATTCCAGCTTTGCATTTTTTTTATTTTGGAGATAGCTCCCCTGTTCTTGAGGTCCAAGCTAATTTAACACTGACATAGAACTGGAAGTGCCCGCCATGGCTGGGAGTTGTTTGTGTGTCACCCGTTCACACAAAGTGCTAACATTGCTAACCATTTTCTCATCTTTCAGAGTCGCAGTTGGGGCGAAGTCCCGAAACGTGCTGGCAACGGAGTGACTGAGTGTTGATTGGTTTAAGCAAAGGGGAGCGGAGCTGCGGAAGGGCATTGCACCCATTGTTGAAATCTTAAAGATAGATTTCACTTTACATTGGCATTGGCTCTTGATTTTGCATTGGGATGTTTGGGCTGTTCTCTTGATTCGAAAGTTTGACGTTCCTGCTGTCTCAGCACCACCCAAGCTTCTTCGTTCCTCTTGTGGAACGAACAATGTGTTCTTCACCTCAAGTCGTTCACGTTGCACATTTGGAGCCCGGTTCTCCCGAAAGTCCCTGCCTTGGCAGGTGGGCCAGATACCGGGCCGGAGGTGGCGCGCCCGGAGCAACTCACAGCGCTGACATGGTAAGCCGCTCGATTCTGGTTGAGCTACGAAAAATAGGGCCACACTGCCATATACAGTGAGTGTGCTGCCGTATTGCCATGACAGGTTGCTGGCGCAGAAGCAGGAGAGGCGACGAAGGCAGCTTGCGCATGTGTGTCAAAGCTCAGCGAAAAGGTTGTCAATGCTGGTAATCACAGAGAAAATGCAGCCTGTGTTTTGGCGGCCCGTTTGCGATTATTGCATGGCATGAGAAATACTCTGCTTTCAAGTGCGGGCCTCCAACACCAGAGTTCCTCGTCGTTCCAGTTACTGATGACTCATCCGTGCAGAAGTCTCGTAGCATGCGTGACGAATAACGTATCCAGGCATCACTATCGGCGATGACAAACTTCGAGCTGAACGCCGGCAAGCCACAGGCGCCAAGCTTGGCTGGTCCTTGAACAACTCCGAAATCTGAGGTATGTGGAGCACCAACAGATTTTGCGGTGGAACTAAGACTGTAGTACCTTCCTGCTGCCGACTCGTAAGAGCAGGGTTTGCCAGCTCGGCTAAGTTTGTAGTTTGTCAGTAGCCAATGTTGAGCTTGCCGCTTCTTTTGGAGGTACCAGAGTTTCCTTGCTGGAAGCCCTACGACCCCAGTACCTTGGCAGAAGGAGTGACAGACACCTTGCATTGCGACTGCAGAATCTGAAGAGATCGAGAAATTGTCATTGCCTGCAGCTGTTGGCAAGGCAAATATTGTGAGGCACAGCCAGACGCTTGGGCCCAAGCTGGGCTTGGAAGCGCTGGAAATGCGCTTTGCAATGATCTAGTCTGACGAGGCTGCACGAGTTTTAGGCAGCTTTTTGCTGCGCTGACAAGTGTATCTAGTTCACAAGGTCTCGTGAGCAATCAGCGGCCTTCTCTGCGAGATCTGCGATCAATTGAGCACTTGTGTTTGAAAATTTGCCATGTGGCAGGTGAAAGAAGCTTCAGACCTGCAAGGTTGGCTGCGAAGGCCTGATGTTTACTTTTGGCTGCTTCTCGCCAAGTAATGTGTTTCAAAGACCAGCTTGAATGCTACTTGCTGTTTGCGCTATAATCTTCCATGCTTGAGTTGCTTTGGTAGTGAGCCTCTTTGGATGGTAAAGTCAATGCCGGTGAAATGAAGCAGTTGGTGATGGCATTGTTGCATTGTTTTGGCGGGACCCACACTGAACATGAATAGACCACACTGGTTGTGGTCACAATCCAGCCTGCTTAACACCATGGCCTTTATGCTAAGGGCTATGTCAAGGCATTTTGACTGGTTTCCAGTCTCTGTGCCCTTTTACCCTTTTGAAGATCTACATCTTCTTTTGATTCCACAATGTCTGCCCGCCTCTTTGGTGCGATTCCTTCTGCATTTCTTTGTCCAAATTGTATCCCTCGCCTGCCACTCTGGAAGCAGCAGAGTAGAACTCTTCCAAGAAGAAAGGCATTGTCTTCCTCCTGGTGGAATCCATGGCTGATGTCCTCGTGTTTAAATTCCTTGTTCAAGAACGAACGTGCTTTGGCATCAACGAAGCCTTCCTTGATACGCGCGATTCAGCGCGATCGACCCATGAAGGTGTTCGCAAGAGGCTCCCTTTCTCTTTCTCTTTATGTTTCTTTATTTTTCTTTGTGTCTTTCTCTTTATCGTTATCTTTGTTTTTCTCATTATCTTGCTCTTTCGCTTTATTTGTTTATTTTATTTATCTTTCTTTATCTTTATCTTTATATTGTTTCCCTGTGTCTTCATCTGTTTCTTCCTTTTTTTCTCATTATCTTGCTCTTTATGTTTATCTTGGCTTGTCTCTATCTCAGTTAATTGCTCCATCTCTTTCCTTTGAACTTTCTCGCTCCCTTTCTCTTTATCTTTATTTTGATCTTTCTCTTTCTTTTGCATATCTCCTCCTCCTTCTCAATCTCCTCATATGTTGTGTGATCTTTATTTATCATGGATTTATCTTTCTTTATTGTTCCTTCTTTCTGGCGTTTCATTATGTGATTATTTCGTTTGGTGTTCATTGTCTCATTTGTCATGTCTTCCTTTATTTCCTTTATTTCCTTTATTTCCTTTCTTTATTTCCTTCCTTCCTTCCTTCCTTTCTTCCTTTCTTTCTTTCCTTCTTTCTTTCTTTCTATCTTTCTTTCTTTCTTTCTTTCTTTCTTTCTTTCTTTCTTTCTTTCTTTCTCTCTTTCTCTCTATATCTCGTTCTCTCTTTCTCTCTTCTTCTCTTTCTCTCTTTCTCGCTTTCTCTCTGTCTCTCTTCTTCCCTTTCTCTCCTTCTCTCCTTCTCTCCTTCTCTCTTTCTCTCTTTCTCTCTGTCTCTCTTTCTCTCTCTTTCTACTTTGGCGCAAGAGTGAGCGCGCTTTCAATCACAAAAGGCCGTAGATTTGGTTTAGTCAAGGCTGTCATATGAATCATACATGAGTCTATGCGTTTATGGCGAAGAAAGTTCTGACATCAGCTCTAATATCATGGTGTTTTTTTGTTTTTTGCGTTTGCTTGTTCGTTAGTTCGATCGGTCGGTCGGTCGGTCGGTTGGTTGGTTGGTTGGTTGGTTGGTTGTGGTTGCTTGTTGGTTGTTTTGTTTTGTGTTATTTTGTGTTGTGTTGTTTTGTTTGTTTGCTTGCTTGGTTGCTTGATTGTTTGTTTGTTTGTTCGTGCGGTTGCTTGTTTGTGTAGTTGTTTGTTTGTTTGTTTGTGTGTTTGTTTTTGTTTGTTTGCTTGTTTTTGTTTGTTTGTTTGTTTGTTTGTTTGTTTGTACGTGTGTTTGTTTTTGTTTGTTTGTTTGTTTGCGTGTTTGCGTGTTTGCCTGTTTGGTTGGTTTGTTTGGTTTGCTTGGTTTGCTTGCCTGCCTTTTTCTTGCTTGCTTGCTTGCTTGCTTGCTTCCTGAGTCTAGGTTTCACCATTATGTTTCATGTCATACACCAATGATACGTCAGGTGCTAACAGGACCTATGCAGCTTGCGGGCTTTTGCGTAGAACATGTGCTTAAAGCATGTGCATAGAGTTCCCGAGTTTGACAAAGTAGGCTGCGCTTCTAGGCCAAGCAAGTGGTTGATCATGCTCAAGTGCCTTCATTGTTGACAATCACTAATGAACACATGAAAGTGTTCCTTAATTCCTTTATGTGTTTTTGTGTCGTTCATTGCAGGCTGTGCCTTGAGAGCCTTTGCCTTCAGGTGTGCTGAGCAGATTGAGCTGCGCCGACAGGAACTGGAGTCCTGGCAGACTCAAAGCAGTCTTTTCACTTGAGTCAAGTGCAATGAACACGGATGCTTTGCAAGCTGGACACAAACCAGAAAACCCGGCAATGTCCGGAAATGTCAACTTGAGCCAAGATGCTTTGCACTGAGCAGCATGGATCCGGCAAAGTCTTGGCGCATCCGCCAACGCCAATTCACTTTTGTGGAAGCATAGATGCGGGATGCATCACAGGGGCTGGGTTGCGACTCGCCAGAGTGGCCAGTGGTTATTTTTTATTTGACCTGCTGTCGTTTCATGGCATGCGACAGTGAAACTTTGCCTCATGAGACTGGCTTATTTCACTTATTGACAACAGGGAGGCACACTGTCAGCAGGTCAATAGCCGGATCCTGTTCAGCAGATTCGTTTGACGGGGAAAGTCATTTGCCTGCTTGCCAGCCTTGCCAGCCGCTCAGATTCCGAAGATCAGTCCACTCAACTGGTTGATGCTTTTCCCCCCGTCGCTTTCCTGCTCAGCACCCCGTGGTTTGCGAAACTCTTTCCAGGTCGGGCCTGAGCGCAGAACAGCTTGCATGGTTTTGCAGTGACCATGCGCGCGTGTTTGCCCTGACTAGCTCCACGGCAGTATATTACACATGCTGGATGCCGAAGCAGCGTGGGGACTAACGCACTGAGCATATCTATGTGAAACCACACGATGCAGTCTGACAGTCAAGAGAGCAAGGAGCCGAATGGTTGGAAATTGAGTTGTGTCGAGGCAACAACATGATGTTCTGGCAGCTTTTGCTGCTTGTGCCGTTGGTGGCGTCAGGCTGGCTGAAAGCATTGCTGTTCATTTGCCCTTTGCTCCCTCTCGGAAGTTGTTCTCTATGGAAAGTCTTATATAGATGTATCATAGTCAAAGTACCCTTTTACTCGGGGCTTGTAGGAATAGTCATCAACCCTTGACTTTTGCTGTTTTAGAGAGCAGGAACCAAAAAGGGAGCCATGATCAGAATGCCGGAAGTTTGCATGGCGTAAACCAGCTGCCTCGAGCACGAAGGAAAAGGCACGCCTCACACAGGCACCCGTACTGGGATCCAACAGCTGGCGCTGAGCACCGAGAGGACCTGTTCCCGACGACGTGGACATTGCACGCCAAGCCGCACAGTCCTTCGTAGGGTCTAACAAAAGGTGCAGAATCCACAGTTGCCAAGCTTGCTGGCTGAATTCCAGAAGTTCCACTGTGACCGCAAAATGACTTGATGTCAATGCGCACATTTATTGTAAACGCTTTGCGTTGCCCGCCTCGGCCAGCCCGCTTTTGGCTGGCTTTGAGGAAAAGATAGTGCTTTAGTAACTTTAGTTTGCCTTGAAGTGTTGTTATAGTGAGTGATCCAAGCCAGAGGGCGCGTGCATGTCCGCGCGATTCCACCTGGCTTCAAGGGCCAGAACGAGAGCCGTAGAGAGACAAATTTCTACACAATTTGACTGTTGTTTTTTGGGGAGGGTTTTGCCGTTTTCTAGGGATGGACTTGTTTTCAAAGGGGATTTGACAGGAGAAGGGAGTTTGACCGGTTTCTACGGCTTTGAGGCAGGAATTGATGCTTCTGAAGGGGAATTTGACCGATTTTAAGGGGAATTTTGCCGGTTTCTAGAAAGATTTGAGCGGAGTTTGACCAGCTTCAGAGGAGGAAGTTGACCAGTTTCTAGCGGGAGTTGACTGGGGTTGAGCCGGTCTTTGCAAGGATTTGACTGGCTTCTAGATGGGAAGTTGACCGTCTTCTATCGGCTTCTAGAAGGGGATTTGACCTGTTTCCACGATTTTCAGGGAATTGCGCGGAGTTGGGTCAAGGATCCTGTTGAAGTCGAAGGATCTGACCTCCCGACCTTGGGGGCTGGCTTGGGGGTTGGGGGAGGCCTTTCAGACAAGTTGGTATTGTTTGCACATTTTCGCAGCCTTTCTGAATGTGGCATTGTGGCCAGTCTAAATAGCAGCACCAGCTTGTGTGTCCGGGCGCGTGGTCTGGGGGGAGGGTTGGCTGCTTGGCAAAAACTTCGGCGCTTGAAAAGATGTCAAATGCTTTCTTGTTTTGTGGTTGTGCCCTCTGTTGTTTGCGCAGTGTTTTTTGCATTTGTCCGGTTTTTCCATCAGTTGTGTCTGCGTGGTTTTGGCTCGTTTGTTTGCGCCGTTTTGGGCTTGTGGATTTGCGCGGGGTCACTTAACAGTCGTGCTTTGGCCATTGCTAGCCCTGGCTTTCGCCTACTTCTTGCTTGCCCGCTTTTGCATTTTTGTCGGCATTTTGGGCTTTGTGCGGATCGCATGTTGTGCTCTGAGCACAGATTTGCAGCTTGCTTTTGTGTTTTGTGCGGGTGTCTTGCTCGGACGCCGTGCCTTGCAGTATGATGCAGTATATTTCGCAGGTTGGAGCCTGTGCGCCGCTTTCGCGACCTTCGTGGCTGCTATGCGCGCTCTAAATCTGGCGCACGAAATTGACGGCCTCAGTCGCAGCGGCTTGCTGCTGCCTGTGTTTTCGCGAGGGTTTGCGGCGTGGCCCGGTGCCGCCTATGGTGCGGGCGAGGGTATAGTGGTGTCTTGGCGCAGCTCGGTGTGCGTTTTGTTTGTGTTTGGGTTCTCGTTCATCACAGTCTATGCAGGGGCGAGCAATGGGTGCAGGGCTGGCAATGGTTTCGATGCAACCTTTTTGCGGTGGTTTCGCGGCCGGGCCGTGCGGCAACACGACGGTCACGAAGCTCGTTCGGTGGCGTGTTGTGGCATGCCGTGGGGAATCCGGATGGAGACCATGATGCCGGTGGGCTGAAGAGGCGGGCCCGGCTCCGGCAGCGCCACGCAGAAAGGGCTCCAGAAAGGGATCGTGATGACGACAGGCTGACAGGATGTTGTGGTTTGGTGGCCGTGCTGGCTAACGGGGCAGACATGGTTGTTTCGTGGCTGTGCCGGCTGGCTGACGGTGCACTGACGCGGAAAGATAGCTCCCGGAAATCAGGACCGCGCTGTGGCTCCGAAGGCAGAGCTCGATCAGGATGGTGCTTTTTCGTGGCCAAGTTGGGGTCTGCGCGAGCCGCCTTTCTTGTTTCGCGCGCGGGCCCCGTCCCTGCAAACAACATCTCTGATGTTTGGGTTCTCGTGCAGTTGAGTGTGTGAAGCGAGCGAACGCCTTGAGCCGCAACGCCCAGCGCATTGTGGCAGATGCGCGCGCTTCAAGGGCACAGCCAGGGGAACGCGACTCGCGGTGCAATCGTGTCGCAGTTTTGCCGGTTTATGTGTGCACGAGCGCGCGCGCGCCGTTTTGAATCCATTTCAGTAGGTGCATTCTCTGTTGTTTGTGGGCTCCTTGTCTGACCTTGTTTAGCGCCTAGGCCCCGAAGAGGTTTTGCTGTGCTCTTTACATGTTCGCGAAAAAGATGGACGTCCTTTTGTGTTTTTTGGGGCGCAGAGTTGGATCTTGACGCAGTCCGAGCTCGTCCTAGGGCCATCCGCGCCTTTGAGCTAAGCTTCTCAGCCTGCAGTGTTGAACTTCCGAGTAGACGTCCAGGTGTTTCATAAGCGGTGCTTCTTTGTCGCGGCTGGGAGTTTGTGACACCGCGCGCCTTTCTTTCGGTGTTTGCATTTTGATTAAATGTGAGCAGCCTGCGTTCCCATATTCTTCTGCAAGATGGTAAAGTGCGATGCTTTTAAGGCACATCGTTTGGCCTGGTTCCGATGTTATTTAAGGAGGTGTGTGGACGGACGGGCGACCGAAAAAACCTTGAGCGCTCTTGTTGCTTGCCGAATTGGTTTGCAGGAAGATTCGTGTGAGACTTCTTTTGGTTCGACATGGATTGCAGCGGCCAAAGGACATGTTCCAAATGTAGACAGACAGGCAAATGAAGTGTTGCCCAGGTCTTGCGCCAATGTTATCCGGCACTACAGTGACTTGGCCAGTGTCAAGCCCGCCGTTGCAGAAAGTCATGGGGTATGGGTACAAAGTCACTTCAGATGTCATCTGACGCTCTAAGGTGAATTATTCGAGGTGCTGAAGAAACTTGGACCTACATTAAATTTGTTACTCGTACGGAACCCAGCCTTGGATTTCGCATCTTCCCAAGGCACAAGAACTTTCTTGACGCGCCCCTGTGCGATTGTGGGGCGTCTCAGTATTGGCGAAGGGGGCATTTGTGACAGCCAGCAGTTGACCGAAATCCTAGGCGGCAAACGCCGGACTGAACGAGCGGCGAGCCTTCTTGCAAATGAGACCGTGGACATTGCTGCTTTGGCGCACAGCGATAGTCTCATGCCGGTAAGAGTTGTCATGGAAGCGTTTACAGATCACATGCCATCCTTGAAGCGCACACGCGCATGTTCAGTAGCAATCTGTTTTCAGCTCCGGCATATCAGCTGAGGTGGTGGCATCCAACCTGATGCGCGCAATCGAAACGGCATGGATTCAATTCGGGCATCGCCCAGCAGCGAGTCTATCAAGTGAGTGGAGATTTGCTTCTTTGCAACCATGGAGCCAGGGCATTTTTTAGAGCACCTCTCCTGGCTCTTTTGTAGCAAGCGAGCCAAAATGGTAAGTAAAGCGAGCTGCTGAGTTTGCTACCCTTTGCAAGATGAGGCAGTCCAACATGTGTGTCGATTGTCAGGTAAGTGTGGTTCCCAGCATCGGACAGGGTGTGTTCAGCATACTGTGCAAAGCATGTCCATGTGATTGCTGGCAGCCTTGATGCGACTTGGACATGCCCCTGATTGATTGACTCTGCGCCGCGAAGGAGAAGCTCATCACGGAATCGCTGCGGGCATGGTCAAGCTCGGAACGTTCGCAGGATTGAACTCGCAACGCCAGCCGCCGACGCTGTTTGTAAAGCAGAGATAACATCTAAAGGATTGTTCTGAGAGAACCGACTGATTCCATGAACAAGGGAAACATACATGTTTCAATCCAACCGCAAACCTGCAGCGGTCAAACGCAGACCAAAGACTGGGATGCTGAGGATGCAGAGGGCAACATTTCCCACAGGCTTGCGCGCCCACACACACACACACACGTACGTTTCAAGCAAGGTGAAACTCCAAACCGGCGTCGACAACCCTGATGATGCTAGACGTCGACAATCCTGATGATGCCAGGGGTGTTTTTGAACAGCTTCGTGCACCTAGTTATGAGCAATCGTGACAATGCCATATTGGACTAACTGGGCAAATTACCGACTCCCAGACAGAGAGCTCCCCTGTGGAGGTCTAGACAATCGTCTTTGGCAAGGGAGAAATACCCAGTCCAGACCCAAGAAAGCCCCTACCGGACTTGTTGTGAAGCACTAGAGATGTCTCGCGCCATGCTCCAAAGCAACAGCATCAGCGTCCAATCAACCATCGCCAAGATAGCCGACCCAAGCTGCAAATGTGAGCCTGATGCAACAGCACAAGCACAAAACAGTATGTTGGCGCCTGCAACGCCCTTTGATGCAGGATGCTTTCAAAGCAAAGGCTCCTCGGGCTTGAGAATGCATGCCAGAATATGCTGACATATGCTGACTGCTCCACACTGAAATGCAGACTGCCATAAACTTGTAACTACATAGAAGGTCTGTCACACTTCCACGCGCAAATAGTCTGATCTTGCTTTGGCTGGTGATACTGTTTGTGCAAAGAAGTAATGTTACTTGGGCGGTGTGTATTTGCACTGGCTGTTCTCAACTTTGCGAGACTTTGCGACTGCGCAGGTGTCATCAAGGGCGATTTGGACAACACTGCACGGGTCAAAGAGGCAGGATGTTTTGGGAAGGAATGTCGCCCAAAGCCGGAATGGCGGTACCCAAGGCCTACAAATGGTGAAAGCAACACGAACTTGTTTTGGTAAAGAGTCATGCAGATCTAGAATCTACGTTCTGATCATTTGCTACCCATGGCTCAAAGCACTGGTGCACGGCGATGAATTCCTCTTAATAGGCTATTAGAGGTGGTGCGTTTAAGCGGAATGCTCAGTGAAAAACTGTAGTAGCAGAAAGCCGAAGGTTCAAGCAATCTGTCTCAAAGGTCCTTGTTTGCTCTTCTTCAGTTATAAAGTCTTGACAAACTGTTTAAAAGCGGGCTGAGCGAAAATGTTGAAAGCCGTCAATTGAGAAAGCGCCACAATTCATCGGATTTTGAAAATCCTCACACAATGTCATAGAAACAAACGTGAAGAAAGGGAGCATTGTGGTTGGGGAGGGTTGGTTCGCACTTCTGAGATTCTGAACTTCGATTGTGTCCGAGTGTGAACTCTGCGCATTTTCGGACTTCATGGTGAGTTTTGAACTCTGCGCACCTGATAATTTTGCTGGGTTGTACAATGAAGCCCGGAAACCGCAGACGGTTCGCAACTCGAGTTCGGGCGCGTCCTCCGCGACTCAGTTTCAAAATTTACTGCTCCGCGCGCCAGACTCGCGCGGGATGCATAGATGCGCGCGATGGATGGCGGACGGACGGACGGACGGACGGACGGACGGACGGACGGACGGACGGACGGACGGACGGACGGATGGATGGATGGATGGATGGATGGATGGACGCATGGATGCATGCAGCGTGGATGCATGGCATGCATGACATGCATGGATGCATGGCATGCATGGATGCATGGATGCGCGTCGATGCAAGGGATGCAGGCGATGCGCGAAAGACAGGGGCTTCCGAGGACGGCGGCAGCCGGATTGCTGGGTATTTGCAGTGTCTTGAGCCTTCCCCGAACTGAAGCTCCAATCGCCGCGCGGGCGGTGATGATGCACCAAAGGCGCGTGACATGCAGACGATGCGAGGGGTCGCTGGCAGCAACTTTAAACGTGCTATCCACTGCTGGGGATGAGCAGTCATGATTATTATCCTCCCTGTTGGTCATTTTGGGGATGCGTAGTGATGATTCGATTCATCATCGTCGTCATCATCATCATCATCGTCATCATCATCATCATCATGGTGCCCGATGGTCAAGAGGATGATAATAATGACGACGATGAGGAGCACCATGATGACGATGTTGATGATGATGAATTCATCGCTAGGCATTCCCGACGTATATCAAAAAGAAGGGACGATGATGATGATGATGATGATGATGAGCGCCATGATGATGAGGATGCTGATGATGATGATGAATCATCACTAGGCGTGTGTTTCACGTTGGGGGCGCTGGTGATGCTGGTCAGTCGGAAGGCAAAGCCTAGGCGCCTTTGGGCGACATAGCGCGGCGAGGCGGAGGTATGTTGCTGGCGCGCAGCCGGCTGCGGCAGCCCCGCGACGCCGAGCCCCATATCCACCAGCTCTTGCTTGTTCAGATGTTGAAGCCTCAGAGGCTGCTCCTTTGCAGGCAAACCCGCTGCAAGAAACTCATCCGCCAGAAGACTTCCGTGGAAGCGGCTCTGCACGTGCGCGAACCGCTTTCGCGAGCAGCGTGGCGCGAACACGCAAAGGATCGGGTCTGGCTGCAGCGCGTTGAAGCTTTTTGCATGCAGGCTTCTGTCATTTTTGGTGCGTTTCGAACCTGGATGACTAGGCATCCCGGACGTATCAAAAAGAAGGGGTGACGACGGGTGACGATGATGATGAGGATGAGGATGATGATGATGAGGATGCTGATGATGATGAATCATCACTAGGCATGTCTCATCGTCCTTCTCTTTTGATGTGTGTTTCAAGTTGGGGCTGGTGATGCTGGGGGTGCGTGATCATGATTATCATGACTGCTGGTACGGGGGGGACGCATAGTGATACGATGACAGCCCTGCATCGCAAGTCGGGCCCAACACGACACTTGAAACGTATATCAACAACAAAAGGAGATGAAGCATCCCCATGATGAATCATCACTAGGCTTCCTCAGCAGGGTTGATGGTAATCATCACTGCGCATCCGCAGTCATGAAGATAATGATGACCACGCATCCCAGCATCGCCGCTGCTTAGTGGGACACTTGAATCGTGGTATCCAATGCTGCGGGGATGAGCAGTCATGTTTATCATCATCCCTGTTGGTCATTTTGGGGATGCGTAGTGATGATTCATCATCATGGTGCTCGATGATGATGGTCAGGAGGATGATAGTAAAGATGATGATGATGATGATGATGATGATGATGATGATGATGATGATCATGACGCTGACCTTGCCTACCGTGAAATGAAAAGCTATGCAGCATCACCTTTTATTGCTGAACATGCCTGCATTTCGAGTGACAAGCTCCTGATGGCTTGGGGATCTTTACTCCTTGCGGAGACCTTTTTAGCTGTGAGTGTATGTGTGTGTGTGTGTGTGTGCGTGTGCGTGCGTGGGTGGGTGCGTGGGTGGGTGGGTGTGTGTGTGTGTGCGCGTGTTTGCGTGTTTGTGTTTGCGTGTCGTGTTTGAGATCTGTATTGCAAGGGCGCATGGCGACAACGTCGCGAATGTGTTGGCCACCAGGATCAGCTCAAGATCCTGCGGAGCTTGCATCCCGAGATCAACGTGAACTACAGTCTTTTGGCAAAGTTGGTTTGGCGAAGCCTCGAGGTCCGTGCTGAGGTTCGTGTGTCAGGCTTGCATCCAGCAGCTGGACGCCTCTTGAAATGTTCATGCGTATCTTTAGCTCAGCCATCACGGCATGTTAAGCAGTGCAGCTCGTAGCACCAAGCATAGGGCCTCAGGGGCCATTTTGAACTATTGCGAGGTTACCGCAATGACTCGGCAGAGCTTTCAAGCTGGGAGCACTTTGAGGCTGTGTGATGTTTGCATACCTTGCGTTCACTAACCGTTTGCATGGCTCATGTTGCTCAGGAATTCTTGCAGGCTAAGTTGCTGCCGGAGATGGTTGCAAAGGACCCACGCAAGACCAGCTGCCTGAAAAAGAAGTGGCTGCGGAAAGATTGAACTGCACACAATTGACCGTTTCGGTCAAACCGCGTCAAATGAAGGCTGCAACCTGAGCCCAGGTTTTACCATTGGCGTGGCCGCCCACTCCATATTCCTGAGAGACTCAGTAGGAAGGAGATCAGCATCTCGGCTAAATAGTGCGCGACCTGTTTGTTAGATACGTCCGATCGGAAGCAGGCAAACTGCCCGACTGTCAGTGGCCTTGTTTGTGCTTCGAGAGTCATTTTGGGATCACCGCAGCCAAAGGAGGTGAGAACGTCACTCGGCAGCAACCTGCCCCACAGAAAGTTTGCTTGAGCTAGAAGACAGCGCTAGATTGAATGTGCTATGTGGCTTCCACAGAAGAAGCTGGACGCATCCCATCGTGCTTTCAGGGATGGCCGTATTTGCAGTGTCTTAGGTTGTTTGGAACAGAGATTCGCAGCGACAGGCAGACAATTTGTGGCTCGGCTTGCTTGGTTGCCACTCAATTTAATTTTGCCTGCTTCTCCAGGTCATAACCAGATGCCTGGCAAAGGCAGCCCTCGGGCTGCGATTATGCACTTGGACAAGACCGACAGCCCCAAAGCAACATACAGTTGACGTAATGAAACTTGACCATTGCCAGTTCCCGTGCACCTGCTACTTGGTGCTGAACATGGCGTTGCGTGACGGACAATGCGGGTTCTTCCTTTTTTCAGGTGTGCTTTGCTCTCCACACAGAGTTTCGACATGATATTTTGTGGGAGTCGTCCGAAAGGTTCTTGTGTTCATACAAATTATATTTAGGGAAAGACCTTGTTGGTCATGTTGCCCTTTCTCGCGAAAGCGTTGTTCAGGGGTCGCGCAGAATCCACAAACAGAAGTCGGTCTAAGGATCGCAAGATCTGAGGATTGCCGCAAGAATACGTCGCTGCAAAAGCACTCACCAGCAGAAAGTTGAGCGCAACTTCCGAGCCGGATTTTGGGAAAGGTGTGGGGCAAGATCTGCGAAAGTTTTGGGAAAGTGGATGAACCTCCACGCCATTGGGTCCCCTCCTGTGCTGCTGCCTGCGCAGCAAGCGAGCTGGGGGTTGCAGAAGTGCACTTCGCAGACCACTTTGGGACTGAAAAGCGACTTGCGAGCCAGGACTGCGGAAGTCTGCTTCGTGTATGACTTTCGTACTTAATGTTGCGAAAGCTCCTTGTTCCAGAACTGCCGTTTTTGCGGAAAAAGGTGGTGTTCAGCTTCGCAGGGCTAGTTCGGGCAACCGCAGTACAACTGTATTATAAATAAGATTACAGAGAAACGATGGACAGCTTTCGCAAAGCCTCTGCGAAGCCTCCGCAAAGCCACCGCTCCAAAATCCATGTCTGCCCACTTTGAGGCTGGCCCCCTTTCGCATAGATTCAGCTTGATTCAACTATATTCAACCAAATGCGAGCACGAAATGTTTGCGGAGCAATCGTCCGCGAAGCCCGTCAAAGCCAGTTCGCGAAGCCACAGTGTTGCCCCGAAGCCTCGCGAAGCCAACGCTTCCACGAATTCTGCCCCCGGTGTAGCCTGAACCTCTAAAACGGAACAAGCAAAATGACAGTTGTGAAGGCCTTTAAGCTCCAAAACTTGCAAAGGGACAGAAAAACACAACACGTAAAACCTCTGGAGGAGTCAACAAATCCCAGTCCACAGTCTCTTTGGGACTGTTGCATGTTTGTGCATGTTTTGGAGCTTCGGGCATGCGCAACTGTCATGTTTCTCTGTTTGCGCAGGTTTTGAAGCTGCAGCGTGCCAAAACCATGAAAGTGTGAACCTCCAAAACCTGCGGAAGGTCCTGGGCCAGAGTCTCTGGGAATTTGCGGTCACTGTGCAGGTTTGGAGCTTTTGGCATCCAGAACTTGATCTCGTTTTGGAGCTTTCAGTCCTTGTCCCATGCATTCGTTTACCTGTGTATGTTTTGGAGCTGTGAGCTGTTAAGAAGTGCATTTGCTGCTCTTTGTTGAAGTGTCCAACTTTCATGGAGCTGCGTGTTTTGCACCCACAGTAGCTGGGGTTTTCAGTATGTTGCGCTCAACAATTAAGCAATTCCGGCAGGGCACACCTTTATATACGCACTGCGTGACTGCACGCCGACAACGGGTTCACACACAATAACCCAAAGCGGGTAATTATTTTGTTGAGTTATTCAGGAGAGCGATGCGAACAAACAGTTCAAACGCACTGTTAAATAGAATGTACCCTGATGCGTTCACAGTGGAATGTAGGCACTGGGCAGGAGGGCTGGCCACGCATTGTCCCACTATGTAAATATAATGTATGTATAGGTGTGTATGATATGTATATATATATATTAATATATATGTGCAAATTATAAGTGTATATATATATATATACATGAACACCACTTTAACAAGAATAGTCTGTTATATAACTGCCGTGATACTGGGTGCCCTTTGACCAACCAATTTGATTGATCATTAATTTTTGCGCAGTGGGCAAGCCGCATCAGGCAAGCCACATCCAAGCCACATCTTCTGGGAGTGTGAGTGTGTGTGTGTGCGTGTGAATACGAGCCTTGTGTGCCAAGGCGACGAGCATGGCAACTTGGCTGACGGTAAAGTTTGAAGCAGCGGCTGCACGTGATACGCAATGCTGAGACGGACGAGGGCTGTCTTGGCATGTGAACTTCAGAGACGTGCGCACTGTTTGCTTCTCAGGTGGCAAGCCCTACAACAATCAAATTCTGGAGATTTTCTACAACTACGATGGAGGCCCTGACAAGGGATCGAGATGGGGCGGTGTTGCTTACAGGATTTGTGTTTCTCTCCTAGGAGTGCTGAAAGGCTGCATTCTGCTTTGGAGGATGGGTTTGGTAGGTTTAGGCTTTGGTAGGGAGTGGGAAAGGGTGGGTGAGTTTAGAGTGGTTTTGGGAGGGTGGGGTGGGTGTGGGTTGTCTAGCGTGAGTATAGAGTGGGTCTGGGATTGTTTACGCAACCATTGGTTGGGTTTAGTGTTGGTTTCGGGTGGGTTAATGTTGGTCTAAATAGCGTGTGGGGAGTTTTAGGTGGCTGCAGGGGGCTTCGGCGTGTCTAGGATTGCTTGTGTTTGATTTGCGGTTGGTTTTCGCTCGATTAGGGTTCATTCAGAATTGGTTTGACGCTGGATTTAGGGAGGATTGGGGATGAGTTCAGAAATGCTTCAGGTTGGGTTTTGTGTGGGCGCGACAAGCGAGCCAAAAGCTGCAAAGCCAAAAGCCAAAAGCCGAGCCAGAGCAAGAATCACGACCAACAGAAGATGCCTACGACTGCAACGGCATTGGTTTGGACCGCTTGTTCATGCATTGCCCCTTTGCAGCTCCCAGGCGCTTTCACAATCGACCCCAGCGCTGGATGCAGGACCCTGGGCTCCTCGCCAGAGCCTTGCTTCAAATGTGCGGGTGGCTTTCTGTCACAGTAACTTTAACTCTTTGCCCCAACTGTCTTAAGCAGCATTTATTCTGGCTCACCATTGCCCTCGCGCGTGTACGGCACAAATTATTGTTCTCAAACAGCCCTCATGATTCCTGCTGCGCCCAAACATCATGTTCAAATAGAAATGCCAATTTATCATTGCAGTTCTGTCTTTGTGTGACTTTTGTATGAGCCACACATGTTCCAATTTGACTTGGAAGATTTGTCGACGCGAATCAGGTTGTTGTGAATTAGTATTGCAGAAGCACAAGGTGAGAGCGTGCCAAAACCCCGTTGAGTTAACTTTAGTACGCGGAGGCCCCTTGTGTCCAAAACTGCCACGTCTCACTGCAAAACGATAAGGAACAGAAAGAAGCGATACCGATAGTGGGAAGCGGCCTTGTCAGCTTGGAAAAACAGGTTGTTGGGTAGCAACAGGCCAGACTTGATGGCTGAACAAAAACAATGACAAGAACTGCCAAAGTGTGCTTCGCGCACCACGCTTGTACTGTTGCAGTTTTTGAGCCTGAGCTGCCAAAGTGTCGAAGTGGAAAGTGCAGAAAGTGCAAAGTGCTACAACACGATAAGGATGTAAAACACAGCAATGACGATAACCCAAAACAGTAACTCTAGCAACAACGAGGTTTCATACAACATATTATATGCTATTCTGTGTTCCCATGATGTGCTGTCCAAATCTAATTGCACGCGGCTTGCGGAATATTATGTTGGTGTGTCAGCATGTGTTGGGGTTGACGTCCTCTAGAACAGCTCTCGCAGCCATGCCCACGTCTCTTCACCAGCTTCAGTTTGAGGTGATGTTTGGAGACCAAGGTCTTGAGGTTCCGAGTTCCTACACATGGCGTTTTTGTCATTCCTGCAAGCAAGCTGAGTCTGGTCATTGACAAGCTCCAGAATAGCCTGCTTCGGTTTAGCATGACGTGTCTAAACCAATTTGGAACTATGTCAGTTATGGTGACTGACAGTTTTCGCATGTGTTGGTCCTACTGGAGAGGCGACGTTTGAAGCTCTTTAGGATAAGCTCCCTGCACCAGAGTTCAAAGAAGAAGCTTCAAGCTGATTCTGTCAGAAGAAAATATTCGAAAGAACAACTCCCCATCTAGAATAGCAAGACAAAGAAAGTGTCCAACATGATCTTTCCTAGGGAGTGAAAAATGAATATCTCCCGAGCTGGAATTGGAAAAGCGGGCCTCAAACTGATCATTGTGAAATAGAAAGGTTCCCAAGCCAGAACTTGAAGAAAAGCTTCAAGATGATCATGTCTGAATAAGAAATTCAAGCAAACAAGTCCTGTGCTGGACTTGAGAGCAAAAGCTTCGACATGATAAACTTTGGAATAAGGAAACTCGAGAGAAACAGCTTGAGTATTTGGAGAACGGACGTCAAACTGATCAATTGCGAATAGAAAAATCGAATGCTCGGAAATGAAGAAGATTGATTTGGAGTGGCGTGGGAAAAAGCCATTCTCTGGAGTCTCATACGAAGATAGAAACTCCTAAGTGCTGCTGAGAAAGCTTCCAAAGAGTGTCTTGTAAAGTCCTTTCCTGAGCAAGGGCTTCTAGAGGGAATGTGTTTGTATCCAGATCCAACTTCTATGCAAATGGAACATTTTATCTGCGCATCAGTTGCGCAACATATGATCGGCGTGGTAGCCCGTCTACGCAATCTAGACAGAAACACGTGTGCAGAAATGATCAGTTTGACGCGCGTTCTTTCAATTCCGTCTCGGGAGCTTTTCCCTGTCAACTTTCTATTCAAGAACGATCATTTTGAAGCTCTTCCGTCCAGTTCAAGCTCGGGAGCTTACCCTTTAAAGCTTGGTCGTTACACCAGACTCGACGAATCTCCAATTAAATATCGACACCACGCAAAACAACAGCACCATGTTCTAGTAGAGCTTGTCAGAGAACGGGATGGCCATTGTCGTGCTTTGAACTAGAGACGAAAACTCAATATTCTGGAGGTTGTCAGCCACACTCATGTGTAAACGAAACATTGTGTTTCGGCAGGGGCCTTTTGAATTTCCTATGGTACAGTGACCCGTTTGAAGTTTTAAGAGTGTTCTTCAGATTCTGCAAGCATATCTTTCGCAGTATCCGCACAACGAGACTATTTGTTAATTCGACTTTTTTTCAACTGCTTGCCCTGGAGCTTCTCGTATTCCAAAATGAACATGTTGAAGCTGTTCCTTCCAATTCTGGCATTAACTATTTAATGATGATGATGTTCTTCCGATTGTGGCGTGCTTTCCTTGAGTTTCCTCTTTAAGCCTGATCTTACTTGAGCATTTGTCTTGCTAGATCTAGCGCTTCCTTTTTGTCTCGCCGCCCTGAAAGCCTGCTTCCAAAACTGCGCTCCAAGCTGCTTTGTATCTTTCCGTTTCATGCGCTCTCGCATTGCCAGGGCCCAGCTCCCAAGTGTGCCCAACCCTGTGTTTTGCTGGGAGAGGCTTATGCTTGTTGCCCTGACACGCTTTTGCAGCACGCCCAACACGCTTAGGTCTCAGGTTGTCTCAAAACGGCCTGTTCCGAGAACTGATTGCGCATCGTTTACGCCCCAACAACCCTGGCGTGGCGGCGATTTTCAAATGTCAAGGGTTCCCAAGCCTGTGTTTTGCTACCGAAATGTGTTTGCCCTTGTTGACATGATTTAACTTGCCCAATGCACTATTTCTCAGCTTGTCGTGTTTCTTTGTTCCAAAACAAATCCAAGGAAAGCAATTTTGTTATGCAACGGTTCCATTCCAACAGCCCTCACAGGCTAGCAGGCCTCAGATCACAAGTTTAACCTTGTGTTTCGCTGTGTTGGGCAGGCTGCGAGGGATTTGTTTTCCGGGCCTTGTTGACACGCTTTTGCAGCTCACCCAACGCACGTATTCAGCCTTCCATTCAAACAACCCTCGTGCGCTAGCAAGTCTCAGATGACGCTTGTCCTTAACCTTGTGTTTCGCGATTTGTTGCACGCCAGGGCAACTTATTGTAAACGCCTCGCGTTGCCCGCCTCGGCCAGTATGCTTTTGACAGGTTTTTATGGGGGAATTGGGCCGGTTTTTTGGAGGGGACTTGAATTGGACCAGGGAACTCGAGTTGTTGGGGTTTGCCTGGTCAATTTTCTAGCGGTCATGGATGCCTCGAGGCTCGTGGGTTTGGGTGAAGGATCTGTCAGGGACTTGCTTCAGGGCTGAAGGCAGCTGGAGCATGGGTTTGGGCTTGGGCAGGGGCGGGCGGGACTTCGTGAAGATTTCGAAGGGGTCTTCGGCTGCGCAGGTCTGAACACTTCCCGGCCCTGGGGCCGAAGTGAATTTGCTCAAGTGATTAAACGTATTCTCAACACAAAACCGTCAAAACGCCCTTTTGCGTCGACCTACAATAGAGAAACATCGCCCGCCAAGCGAAACCCATCGGACTACGGCCATTGCGATTTGAGTTGGAACCCGCCCACCAAACCAAAGCCGTTGCAAGACAACGCGTCCACTGCTACACAGGGTTGGTGTTTCACACGCGTGAGCCAAAAACACCCCTTCTGCAGTCACTGCGGACAGATTCTCGTTGTGAGTTGGCTATCAAACCTGATCAGTGTGAAGCTTTTCCTTCCTTTGGGAACTGTCCCTTTCAATTTGCAATGCCGGCCCAGAAGCTGTTGTTCATGTTGAAGCTTCATGCTGGCAGGGGCGACTGAGAAGCTGCTCTAGATGGTTGTTTGACTCGCGCTGGAGGGGCCTGCTGACCCTCCAAGCCATGCCTTTTACCCGAGCATTGGTGCCATGAGGAGCAGTCCCATTTTTTTTGGTCGGGGAGGTTCTTGTTTTGTTGGCTGTTACTGTTGCTTCACAAAGATGCACTCACACGCAACTCTACATTTGCGTGGCTCCAGCCTTGCGTCTTGTGTTGCGCTACTGTTCATTTACAGCAGAGCCAAGCGAAACAACGTCTCCCCTCACGTCCCTGCTCGTGCTCACTTTCTTGGGCTGTTGCCAACAGGTTGAAGTCCTAAGCGTGAACTCCACATTGCTCTGCAGTGCCTCTGCAGTGTTTCTGGCACCTACGACGCGCCACCCAACATGCCTCTGTTCGAGTGCATGCGGCTACCCATGTTTTTGGTCATGTGGATTTGCACAAGAAGCCGTGAAAGACTTGGTGCGTGAGGTCGTCCCGCACGAACATGTTCGCCTGCCAGACACGGCATTTGCTTGTGACCGTGGTCCAATTTGCTGGTTCGAGATGCCACCATCTGCATTTGAGTCATGCAAGTCAGGTGACGAATGATGACCTAGTTGTTTAGTGTCAGACCCCATGCCAGAATTGAAAGACACACAAGTGTCCAAACTTGTCCTTTATAGGAAGTACAAAAATAATATCTCCCGAGCTGGAGTTGGAAAGGCGGGCCTCACACTGATCATTGTGAAATAGTAGGGTTTCCGAGCCAGAACTTGAAGAGAAAGCTTCAAGATGATCATGTCTTAATTGGAACTTCAAACGAGCAACTCCTGAGCACAACAGCGCCTTCGTGTTTTCCCGTGCATTCTTAGGCGCAATGGCCAGTATCCTGAGCCGTTGCAGCTACGGCTGGCACTTGATATTTGAGCTTGAACTAAGGAATTGCCGTATGGGGTTCCAGGCCAGTCGAGGGAGGACAGAGAGCATGAGCATGTCGTCCTTGAGTTTAGGGTCAGCGCATGCTTCCAACCCTGGCCTTTCGAGGTAGTCCACAGCACATTTGTGAGGGTGATATTGGCCGGTGCGCTCCTGTGTGGAGGGAGCTGAAGGGCAAGCCTTCACTCACAATGGAGGCGCAGCCACTTGGCTTGGCACCGTCCAACATCAAATCGTATTGCATTGTGTTGGCCTGGTGTATGTCGCACTAGCTGTCGATCCCGAATAATGACATTGAGCTGATACTGTAGTTTGATTAATGAAGGTCTCTTGCTCAGACCTGATTTTGTAAGTAAATTCAAAAGTGTTCGTGAGATTTTCTGAAAGCCCCATGTCTTTCGCTCAGGTCAAACTTGCCAGCTCTCCCGATGCATGAGCAAGTGCTAGATGCGGCTGCTCGTCTGCAGCGTCGATTCACCGCGGCGGCCTCAGCGCGTGTGTTTGAGCCAACTGCTCATTGTTTCTTCCGACACGAATGCAAAACCGAAGGGATCCGAAGGGCATGTGACACAGTGAGCAAGGGGCCGACTACATCAGAGACCTTCAGCATGCGTGGCGACCTCCCACAGGCAAGGGCCAATCTCTGCGCTATCCGACGGGATTGGCGGGTCTTCCTGGAGAAGTTGGCTAGTTGGCTATGCGAAGGGTGGCTTTTGGGCAAACACAAGGGGAAGCAGGCTTGCCAAAGCAGTTTAAGGCAACTGCTTTTAACCGACGGAAAGGTGACCAAAATCCCAACCAGCTCTTGAGCAGATCAACATAATGATGCCTAAAGGGCAACGCGACCAATGCTACTTGTTGGCTCCGTCTTCCTCATGCTTTCAGATGGTCCATTAGATTTTGGGTTTGTTGGAGCGAAGGCATCAGCAGTCAGCGAGCCTCGGGACAGTCTCGGGACAAAATGCTTGACTGGGCGAGGGCATGAAAACGAGTGCGTCCAGCATGCGGTAGAAGCAAGCAGAGGTAGACGGCATTCGGCCCACGCTTATCAACCTGGTTCCAGGCAAAGAGTAGAGCTTGAGAAGTTCAATACCCCTGGAATGCATGTCATGGCTGTTAAGAAATGTTCAGGGATCAGGGCGGATGCGCAGGTTGAAACTGTGGAGCAGAAGTGGGTTGACGCCTGGAACAAAGCGGATAAGAAGTGCGCGAGCGGGCGCCCCAGGCTTCCAGAGCGCTGTCTCGCTTTTGATTGGCAGACAAATTGCGCAAGATGTCGAGAATACCAGTCCTAATTGGGGGGCAAGTCGCGAAAGGTAGCCTGCCACAGGCGCGTTAATGAATCTGACCCACCAATTTCACGGGCCCTTTTCAGGCGGGGTCTTCAGCCTCTTTGTTTCTCTGCATCTTCTACTCACACCAACCGTCCCTAGCCATCGCCAGTGGTTTCAACATGCGGTGGGGCCAGGCGAGGTGCTAAATAACCCCCTTTGAACAAAATCCGAGGTACGTCACCCCATGAACCAATTGTTCTGAAATATTTGCTTGCAACATTGTTTGACGGGATGGTTTTGGGCCTTGACTGTTTCTGTTCTAAATTCGTGTCATCCCGTTGACCCCAGGAACAGGTTCCGGGCACAGGACCGTGCATGTTATATTGATGTGGCTTGAAAAGGTGGCGGAACCCGGCTTGCGCGGCGCGAAAAACAGGTGAAAAAGAATCGGTTCCGAGCCGGAAATCAAATCGCTTGAACATGGCAAACAATTATTCCTGGATTCCAGCAGTCAGAATAATTTATGCCCATGGCGGTCAAGAACCCTAGGAAGAGCAATAAACGTGTTCCTGGGGTGGACCAACGTGGTGTTTCTGTGTACAGTGATGCGCATGTTTTGTTGTTTGCCCCTCGGGTTTCTTAGCTGACTTCGCTCTGATGCAAGCGTTCCCTTCCTGCGTGTAAAGGGGTGGTCCGTGTTCTCGAGGGTCAACATTGGAGAGGGTTTTGGACTGGGCAGCTGGCTGAGGTTCTGACGTGCCCCGTTCTTCATGCACCTTGGCTTGAATGCTAAGCGCTCCTGCAAACAGTGACCGCCCGGGATTGAATCATGGTCGTATGGCCTAGGAGGATTTGTGTTCCGAATGGTTTTGCATTAGATTCAATGCCGCGAAAGTTCCTTTCAACCTGGCAAGACGCCAGTCGAGTTGTGGCAGCTTCTCAACTGAGACAGCGCTCGCCAAGTTTGCTCATCCTTGTTCAGATCGGCGTCTGCTGAGGTTACTCGTTTGTTTGCCCTTGCTGTCAGGCGAAGATCTCCCAGTATATCCAGATACTTCTTCGAAAGCGGTTTGCGATTGCGTGTGATTTGCGATTGAACGTGATTTGCCAGCGCAAAGGCCGCGGCTTCGGGACTGGTTCATGCAAGAGTGCTGCAGCTGATGCATACAGTTGCGGCGACTGGCCTTCTGCAGACTTTCGGCTTTGGAAGTTGTAGATAGCCTGCTCATGGCAAAGCAATGAAAGAAAGACAGGTTGACGGATGGTCAGATCAGACAATCGGGCTGTGACGAGTATCTTACATTTACGTGAATCTACGCTTGAAGGGATGCCCGCTTGAAGTGTTCTACCTCACTGCGTTTAGCGCAGATCTCTGCCTTTGACAGATGAGCAGGCGCATGTCGGGCTGGATCATGCGCCCATGAGCGATTTGGCAATCCGCTTCTGCTTTGATGGTGCCTACCCTGCAGACGTGTGCTGCGATCCGCAACACTCAGATTACCGCCGATGCTGGCAAGCTGGACGCTCGCTTCTGTCATGTTCATGTTTTGAAGTGGATGTGTGCATGCACCTGCGAATCCTGGAAGCTAGACACAACGCGGAAAGCAAGTTGTGACAGATGTGCATGTTGCATGGCAGATGGTGTTCTGCTATGTGGCACTGATACTCGCTTGATCGCGGGCATCAATCAGACTGCAAGTTTCAATTGAGTTCTCGCTCAGGTGCATTTAATGAGCATCATAAGAAGCAATGCTGCAGCGGACCTGCGCTTGCTTTGGCTGCGGAGATCCAAGAAAGGACCAGGGTGTAATGATTCGACAGCCAACAGCCCAAGAGTCAAACCTTGCCTCAGGCGCACAATGTAAGATTATGTAAGCCTGCCGGACAAATGTTCTAGAAATGCCAGCTTCCGACAAAGGCTGCGCCTCTGCTCGAGAAAGAAGTTTTCAGCACTGCGTCCTCGCAGAAAGTCATCGGTCAGCCGATTGCAAGTCTTTCAGGATAGCGAGCACATCCGCCTCAGAGACTTTGTCACGCTGCCTGGCAGTGGGCCACTTTGACCGCACGGCCTTTATGCCCCAGGGCACACCTGATCATCTCAAGAAGTTGGCTACCAGCCATCAAGATGATGAGGCGGGGAACGATGCAGACGGGGTAAGTCAGCGTATGGTAAAGCTCTTGCAAGCGCGAGAAGATGAGAGAAGACTGATGCAATTGCTGATGTGTGGCCGAAACTTGGCCGGAGTGCTTCCTTGCCCCTTCTACCAATGTATCACAAGGTGTGCCTCGCTCTCCGATAGCAGTTATTGTAAGACTCAGCGCCAAATCCAGGATCACGGGCTTTCGCTTGTGTGCTGGTGTCTTGACTAGCCATGGCTGAAATCTCTTGCTGGCTTTCTAACGCAAGGTTGTCCGGGGGGGAACTGAATAGATTGCCGCCTATATTAGTCCGGAACTAGGTAAGGCCTTGGGCGTGCTTGTAAAGTTGACACTGTGTCCAAGGAATGTGTAACTGTGTTTGCTGAACATGGTCGCGCTTGAGAACGCAAGATGCTCATGCTGCAGTCATGAGACCCTGATCTAAGCTTATGGTTCACTTGTGTCCTACGGCTTCAAACGTTCGGAGTTTCAACCGCGAAGCCATGTCACTGCGGCAACGAACTCAACCAAAGTTGTCTCTTAAAAGACGCGACATATCTCAACATTGACCAGCAGCGTTGGCGCCACACATCCGACGTTGCAAAAGATGCAGGACTGCTCTTGAAGATTTGCATGAGTTGTTGATGTGGAATGGGTTGCAAAGTGGGTGTAGCTCAAAAGCACTAATTAAGCACAAAACAGCAAAGGATGTTGCCAGTCCATTCTTCACAAACATAAGTCAAGAACACGCAACAGCTCTAAAGTTCTAAAGACAGGCACGATGGCCACACAGTTGTGTGAGTCTCCCTATTCTTTTCCGGACATCGCCAAATTTGCCTAGAATCCCGGCTTTATGAATTCAATGCGACTGACAATGTCAGCAACGCCTGGCCATCCACGTGCAACGGCAGGAGTCGGCAGCTTCATTGATTTGGGGATGTCCCTTCAACGAAACGAGATCCTATACTCAGCAGGAGCGTGATGGACGTGGCTGGAATCTATCTGCCTTGGGACAAGTCTCCCCTTTGCTTAGAGCTCCTTTTCTTTTCGATTGTCACGTTTTGTTTCGTGTCCTTTCTCCTTGGGCTCATGCCAGGTGCGGCGAGCCTACAGCTACGGCCATGCGCTGACTGGAGGCCGATGCGCTGAAGCAGCACTGATGGAGGACGAGGACCAGGTGGTGCTCGGCTTGCATGACCAGCTCAAGGCCAAGGCAGGCGGTCTGTGCATTCTGACCTTTCTGGCTTAATCTTAGGTTATCTCACCCCTGTACATGTTGTCAATGATACGTTTGTGCAATGCATGGTGTTGAAGTCCCATTTCAAGTTTGCCCAAAAGCCTGATCTTGTGCAACGTGCAAAAGGTCCGGCTAAGTGCGCGCTAGAAAAGGTGCACATGACTGGCTGGACCGTGAATTTTGGGGCCGGCTCCTATGAGGACTGAGTGCATGGCCAGCCGGTTTGTAGTGTTTTCTTGCTGTGTGCAAGGACCCATTCTGGATCTTGGCGCAACAGCGAAACAGTTCAGGCATCTTTGTGGATCCCACAGGCGTGCCGAAGGACCTGTCAGTCCCACCCAAAGTTCGATTTCTGGCGGAGGCGGGGTTTTGCAATGGGGATGCGGGTCTCATAGTCTGTCACCTTCCAAAAATGAGTGCAGGCGGCAGAGCCGGACAATGTTTTGCCGCTTTTGCGCCGCGGTGGTCTTCCTGCAGGGCATGGCCGACGAGTTGATGTAGACTTCTTGAAGGCGCGTGTTGTTTTGCCTTCTGGCAACGCATCGCAGGATGGGTGTCAATGTCGTGCACGTGAGAGCAACACACTCAAGTCACTCAAGCCTTCCAGCCATTCCAGCCTTCGTGGGGCTTGCAACTAGCAGGAAACTCGTGCCTGGAGGTGGATGTGGATGGGTGCGACTGTGTGCTGGCAGCTGTGGCGCTGCGCTTCATCCGACCAAAGGCAGGAAAGACTGCTTTCAAAAATCCAACAAGTTGCCAAATGTGCCTTTCGGCAATATCCACATTGCGTGATGTCCGAGACATTTTTCCAGCGCAAGTGCTGGTCCCTTGAGATATCGTGAGAATGGTACACGTTGGCCTTCTGACACAGACGTTTGTAAATATGCCGTGGCCAGATTGTTTGGATGGAGATCAACTGGTCACTTCCTCCTCCTCTGCGTTTTGCGCGACAATGTCATCCTGAATGGCGTCCATCGTGGATACGGCGGGCGTTGCTCATAGGGACTGTGCTTCCAAGGTGAACCTTGCATGTAGGGGGAACACCTGAGACCAGCTCGCGCAGGTGGGCCCAAGGTGGGCGTTACCTCAGCACACACGGCTGCTCCCTGTCGGCGGCAGTTGCGGAAGTGCAGGCAGGTTTGTGTGCAACTACTTTGAGTCGCTTTGAGCATAATGTTTGCCGCCTCACTTGGACCGTAAGCTGATCTTTGACTGATTCGTTCATATTAGTATCGATTTGTTGGAGTTGGGGTCCAGGAACTGTAGCAATACTGTGCCACTTCTCAATTATTTTACACAACACTCAAGTTGCAGGAAGTTTTGGCAACGTTAATGTTTCTTTTGAATAGGTTTTGTATTGCGCTCAAATCCACCAAATTGGGATTTGGGCAACGCTGCTTTCAAACTTTTGAGTTGCTTTTGTGGTCGAATCCATTTCCAAGAAGTGACCCAGAGCGCTCAGACCATAGCTGTACTTAGGGTCATCTGGTGCAAGGGGCACAATACCCTTGGCTGATTGTTTTAGGCTGCTTTTCTTTTCCAGGGTTTAACATCAAGGGCTCATCACGGAAATGGACTCCAGCATTTTGTTTTTAGGTTGGCTTCATAAAGGTAAGTTGATAATTGTTCAACAGATTGAAAAAGGCTCCTTGTGGGGTGGGGGCTGCATTGAGGCCCAGCCAGGTTGGAAGGGTTGGACGCGGCCAAAACAATAGGGTTGGGCACGGGCAGAAAGTGATGTCCAAAACATGTTAGCGGGGGTATCCTAAAATTTACTTTGGGTGATTGCTTAGCCGCTGCGAGCCCGCAATCAGACAAGGTTGCATAATTGCAACGGGGCGCGTTCAAACTCGGGGTGGCCAACCTCAGGCATTCGGCTATCAGCTGCTGCGCGTGAGTGGTAATGTCAATGCAGTCTTTGTCCACCAGAGCGAGGCAGAGTTTGTTGGAGGTGCTGGCGCAAGCTGGCAGCACATGTTAAGTGAGTTCGCCTCGATCAGTGTTTCACGTGGGTCCGTTTACATGTCGCGCCCTTTGTCAATGTGTGAGTAAGTCGCAATGTATTGCCAACATCAGACTTGTTGACATGATGATACTCACAATGAAGTCGGCAGTGATGAACGCTTCGCAAAGAACGCGCCCGTTTGCCCCTGAGACACTATTGGTCCCTGGGCAGGTGTGTGTGTGTGTGAAGGGGATCGGGGACGCGCACGCACTTGGTGTTTGGCATTCGAATCGAACCCCAGAAGCGCAGAAGCTCGTGAGACATGGTCCGCTTCAGGCCTTTCAAGTGTTGATTTTGAACATGCAGACACTTCATGGCGGTTGTTTGGCTCGATCTTGTTGGGTTGTAATATGAGTGGCAGGATGACTAGCGCAATCAGGGGACATTACTGACATCAACGCGCCACTTGAGCAACCTGCCGTGGTCACCAAGTGGCCTCAAAATTGCCCGACCAGGCCCAACCAATCCCACTTGCTGGCCAGGAAGTTGCCACTTCATTTTTTAGCAGCCCATGGAATGTTTGTATTTCAGAGTCTGATCCGTATGGACTTCAAGGTTGATCCGTGATCCCAGGTCCCAAGTGACGAGCATTTTTTCCAGGTGACCTGATGCCCCCCTTCGGCGTTGAAGCCAGGCAAAAGTGATCTCAGACCCCGAGCTCTGCTCTTGTGCTAGCTGCCGTTGAAGCTGTCTTATTTCATGTTCTCCAGAAGGACAGAGGAACAAGCATGGGTTTGACAACCCCCATAATCCATCTATACATCTCCACGCAGTTGGTCCACCCGGCGCTATAACAATCCTGTGCGCGTGCCTTTTGCTTTGAAACCCCTCCTGGGAATGGCGATAAGGGGCACGGCGAAGTTCTTTAGGGATGTGTCGGACACAAGGTGGATGAAGTTGCCTGCTTCAGTGAGACCTGGGGCAATGACTATGGACGCTATGCTCATTGGAGCCTTATTGATGATTGGCGGCGAGGGCTGGTGCACGTGGCGCTGCAGCGAAGCTGGTGCAATCTCACGCGCCTTGTTCAGAGGTAGAGGTGGTCGCAGATACCGTTAGCCAGCTCAGGCTGAAAACAAGGCAAACATTGAGTGATTTACTTGAGCGTGGGAATTCTCAAGACTTGTGTTGCCAAGGCTGCATGACTGGATGTTCGGCATCTCACACCTACCCTTCTCTCTGTCAGTCTGAGACAGATACGTGACGCTGCTGGTTGGATGAGATCTTAGGTAGTGAGCCAATTGAGCTTCAAATCGAGGAGTGGCAGCAACGCGCAAAGAAGCTTGCCCTTCTCGTTGCGGATGCCAGGTTCATCGAGGGATTGCAAGGTGCAAGACAACATCAAGTGTTAGGTTTGTCCTCCATGATGAGTTGGTTCCCTTCTTTTTGGTTGGCGAATTCTGAGCCCCAGTGAAATGGGGCGTTGATTGAGTATGTCAGGCTCAGAAGCTGGGCTATGCTGGGCTCAAGCTTGGTCTTAGTTAACCCAGCCCTGATTGCAGCGAGCCATGGGCTGCGAGAGCAGCAAGGTGCAAGCAACCGAAAGCGCTACAGTGCAGATATCCAGATATCAAGAGTTCCTTTGCCGCTCTTGGCATTCTTGTCGCTCGGATTTGCTTCTGTGCTTGTTTGCTTTTTAGTTTTCGCCCACGTTGAGTGGGGTGACTGCAAAACACTCGTCTCGTTTGCCGCTCACAGACTCAAGTGAAATTTGCTACTGTTCCCTACTTGGTGTAGTCAGGGCGCCAGCAACACTGGCCCGCCTCACTTCGCCTCGACAGAGTGTCATAGTTAGGCCCAGCAACCCCGTGCGTGGGGATTCAACGCGTTTGCAGGTTCCTGCAGCGCTGTGCTCCGTCCATCAGCCTCATTTCGGACAAAGAGGCCGCGGCGTGTCTGGACATGTGGGTGGACAGCTTCCAAGCGGATCCACCCAATCCCATGTTCTTATGGATCGTGAAGGACAGGTTCGAGCTTGAATTACTTGTATCACACGCGTTGGCTGTGTTTTGGAGGTGCTCATGGACGCAAGGCTGGTGGCAACATTGTGATTTACACAACCACCCGCACGCCTGAAATCGATGCCTTTTGCGTGATCTTTAGTGACAGGCGGTGAAACATCTTTGAACGGGTTGTTTGGCCAAACCCTGGACAGCTGAGGGGCTGTCAATTTTCACTTCGCGACTGAGGCAACAAAAAATACTTTGCTGACAACCTGTTTTGCACATGGCTATATTGTTGCTCGTTCGGATTGCGAAGGATGGGGCTAAGATCAGCTGATGTCCATTTAGATTGTCAAACATGAGGGGCTCCGCATTGGTGGCTAAAAGACACACTGCTTTTGGACTTTTCTTATGTTGTCCAAACTTGTTTTGGGAAAACTAGGATGTCATAGGGCTAAGTGCTGTTGGCTCCACTCTCACTCTGGTCGGACTCGGGTTCTCGGTTGAGTGGTTGCCTCGGGGCCATTTTGGCTCAAGTCCTTGACTTGACCCCTGGTTTCGATCACGGATCTTCTCGTTTAAATTCCCCACCCTCCACTCCCTATGGCCTTTGACCTCACACGGCCGGTTCAAGAGATCAATCAAAAGGACACCCTGACACGTCCACCAGCTCCCCCAAGGATACAGGGTATGGGTGGATGCTTGCGTCTCAAGAAGAGGAAGCTCAATGAGCTCGAGATCTCCCCGGTAGTTGACCACCGGCTATGCTTGGAAGAGGCGACAGAAACGAAATGCGGGCAGCCTGCCTCTTGAGGTTCAAGAGCAAGCCGGAAGTGGAGTTCGAGGGGTCGGACCACATGCTGGCGGTGCTCAAGAGAACCCTCCTACGCGGGGAGTTCCCGACAGGATCCCTAGCAAGATCGTGGCTCTCCACCGAGGCCTCCTCGGAGAAGCACTCGATTTCCTTGCCGACCATCTCACTCAGGTAAAACTGGATGAGTTCTATGGTTTCATGATGGGTGAGGATGTCATGGGCAGGGAGCCCCGATGTCCATGGATGACACGTTGTCCATCTCCAATGCGCTAGCGCAGGTCAACAGTGATATCCTTTTCTGAACGCGGGAGGTGTATGAGAGCAGGGAAAAGGGAGATGTGTCCTCGGCTGGACCCAATTTTTCAAGAATTACCGCGCCTTCAACAAACGCCCGGGAAACTGCGGGAGGAGTCACAGTTGCTCCGTGCTCCTGCCGTCGGGGAAAGCCTGTGAGAAGAGCCAACCAAGAATGTCTCGTCAACCCCTCGCCTCTTCTAGCGATGGCAGGAAGGCTTCTCCGGAGGCAGAAGGTGAAAGAATCTGCGGGCGAGCTATCGGTTCCCAGTCCAAAGGATGACCGGCTGCCTTGGGCGCTGGATCCGGCGCACCGGCACAGGACCTACCATCAACCTCGGGGCTTGCTGTCGCAGACCCGAAGCTGCTCGGGAACGGCTGCCACAAGCGCCGTATCCGGCAAGGGGATGTGGACCTCCAGGTGATTCGTGCCCACTTTTTCTGCCGCGAACATGAAGAGCGATACCAGGAGTTCCAACGCCGCGATACGCCTGGACAGGTGTAGCTCTCCAGACTGCAGCTTGATCAGCATGGGTTGAAGCTTGTCAAGCTTCTCTTTCAGCAACCGTGCTGCGCCCTTGTTGATGTCCACCTGATAGCCCAGCCACAGGGGTCCCAATGCGAACCCTGAAGTCATCCACAAAGACTCATCCCCGAACACCGTGGTTGATCCTGTCCCTGCACGTGTCCTAAACGGAGAAAATGTTGCACTTTTCGTGGCCAACATGCCACTGGTCTGTGTTCGATGTATTTTTTGGTGGGCTTGGTTCAATGCTGTCAAGGTAAGAACGAATGAAAGCAGTCGTCAGTAGTCAGCGCAGTCCAGGCTTCAATATTTCAAGACTCATTTTTGCGCCATCCCTCAAGTGCGTTCGCTGCCATTGTCGCTGTGATTCACGCTTGACCGGGCATGAGTTGCACAATGTTTGCTCAATCTGCAAAATAGACATGACATTGCTGCAATGTCCTCCTGCGGGCACACAGAGCGACTGGGACAAGAGGCAGCGCGTGTACGATGCCAGGTGGGGAGGGTCCTCTCCCGAACTGTTGGTGCGGGGTTCGTGAGGTCCCGTGCCAGCAGACCGACAATGAGGGCAACGCGAATGCCGCTTCCACGGGCTGCGAATCTGCTTAGGAGCAAAACGAGCAAGCTTTGGACCGACCGCTACGCTGCCGGACCTGCTAGCCCTCCATACGCAGGATGTCCATTCGTTGGAAAAGACTGGTGTAGGGAAAGGGTTGCCTGGCCGGTTGTTGCTGCGAGGCCCTTTTTGTGGACTTGCCAAGTTACTGCTTCGGGATTCGGGACCCCGCCTACTGAGGGCCCTCCTGGACTTTCAGTTGATCTACTGAAGGATTCTTGTGCGACCTGGGCTGGTGTTTCCCGGGTGCGTCCAAAGTTTTTCTTTTAACTCGGATCTCCACGAGACCGGGATTCACGGTAACACGGACGTATGCGGGAAAGGGCGCACGAAAATGCCCTTAATCCGAGTGTCGGCAGGAAGCTGACACAGCCTTGAGGCTGTGTTCGCAGCTCTGTCCGCCCTCAAGTTTTGGATTTTGCCACCCACGCGTTCTCGAGAAAAAGGAGTTTCGTGGAAGCGCTGCAGACTGCGACTCAGCTTGTTGAAGGCAGGGTGTCTCCGTTTTGTTTGCGCGTCTGACAACAAGCACCTGGGCACTGTTACTGTAAAGGGCTTCCTACACCCCACTTGCTCAACGCAAGTAGGGATGAAGGAAAATACTGTGGAGTTTTGCATACGCGCGCGCTGTAATTTGATTACTTAGCGGGGCGTTGGGGAAGAGCGAGCAAACAAGCAGGGCACAGGCAATTTGTCTAACCAATCAGGGTGCCTCGTTTCGAAAAGGGACCCAAAACACAAATGAACTAGAAGAGGTGGCGAAAGAAGTTATGCTGGCCCTGTCATGAGCCTTTCCAGTTGCTTGTCAGGAAAGAGTGGGGTTGGCCCCCGCTTACGCACGCCAGGAACGGGGTTCTACTGAGCCTCGTAAAGATGACCAAAACACCCTAGATAAAAATGACCAAGCCACCCTAGGGACTTTGGAGCAACAAGACATTCCAAGAGTCAGGCTTCAGCACACTCAGTCCCATATCATCCAGTTGCATATGCATGAGGTAACCTTAGATAACCAATCACCAGAGGTCCAGTAGTACCACTACCCGCTTGGTGGCATAGTCAGTACGTTGGACAGAAACCCTGGACGCAAACAAGACAAGGTCAACAACAATTAAATGATCTTCCAGTTGCCTATCTTTTAGTGACAAAAAATCGCCCGTGCCCCCCCCTCCCCCACGAGAATCCATGCGTATCCTGGGCAAGGACGAGCGTCTGTCCAAGGAAGAGCAGCGGCGACGACTTATGCTGCAGCTCCGATACATGCTCGACTATGTGGCCAGACCTCTCAAGCAGTATGGCGCAACGCTCGTCATCAGAAACTCGGCCGTGATTGCTGGAGGGGGTCCACGTTAGCCGCTTTTGCGCCATGCTTGAGGAGAATCCCAAGTTCCAGTGTTTCTCGCGTGTGATTCCCAGCTCCTTTGTTAGCCTGCAACTTTGTGGCTGGGCCAAATCCGACTGTCATTGTCCAAATGAATCGCTTGATTCGCATGGTCACATACTGCATGCTTCAAGTGTGAGACAGCGAATCGCTTGAAAGGCGCTTTGGTCCAAGCAGTTCCAGCGCAGTGCCATTTTGATTAGAGATACTCATGGGGGTCAGCAAGTTAGAGGAACTATTGCCATGACCCGTATGGAGTCTTGGCCACAAGCATGTCTTGCCGGGCCTTCTGTGTTCAAGGGTAGTTTTCTTCCGCTGGATATTGCTCGCAACTCGGCAGTTTTGAGGTCGCAAGATTTCAAGCGGTACTCAGCCAGAAGACGCCTATTTTGTTATGTGTGCTGTTCGATCACAACAGCTGTGACAGAGCTGACAGCTGCGACGATGTCTGACCAGGACAGTTACTATAAAGCTGACCTCTGCCATGCAGAGCACCAAGAAATCCAAGACCAAGTCATCCCCAGCTTCGAAACTCTGGAGCGACATCGACGCGCGGCCAACAGGCGCAAAGAAGCGATCGCGAAGACAGGGACTTCAGACGAGAGCTGATAGAAGAGAAAAGCCACAGAAAGAGTGAAAGAGAAAGCGCGGGGGAAAAAAAGAGAGAGAGAGAGAGAGAAGGAAAAGCAGAAAGAAAGAAGCGAATAAAGACAGCAAGACAGGAAGACAGCAAGAAGTAAAGTGAGAAAGACAGACATAAAGAAAGATGGCAAGACCCAAAGCAGAGATTAGCAAGAGCACGGTGAAAATTAGACCATTCAGGGCAAATCAAGCTGCTTGCCCTGGCCCTCGACAAGAGCCGGACTTGACGCATTTTTTGAAGCATCTGTCCACTTTGCCCATACCCAGGTGGCAGCCGCCATTTGAGTTATGCTTTGCGTCCCCCAGTTGTCTGGGTCTCAAATGAGTTGCGCAGGCACAGCGCCAAATCAGCATTTGCCTCCCGAGGAGATGACAGCGGCGCCATCCAAGCGGCCGCAGGCCTCTACATGCCCGGCACGTGCAAGGCCCCAGGGGCAATGTCAAACCTGATGGTGGTGGGTTTGCCACCGGTGGTGAAATACGCGCCGAGGCGCGGCGCGCTGGCTCAGGGTTTTTTGCAATCAACATGATAAGGACAATCTCAGTCAAAGGGACTTAAGATGAAAAAAATGACAACAAGCTAGTAGTGCCGAGACAAAGAACCTGTTGGAGCAAGATGTCCCCCTTTGAGCGAGCCACCCCGAACAGAGGTAGCGGATTTTACGGGGCGTTGCTCAAATCTTGCGTGTGTAGATGTGCTTTTCAGCTTGAACCAGAAGAAGGAGCTATGCGTTCCGGATGGGCGTTGCCTTCAGCTGTTGCCCTTACAGCAACTGCGACATGGAAGTTGACGAAGGGAGCTGTCTGTTTTGGCTGCCATGTTCCTTTCAGAAGTAAGGGTTTGTTTGGTAAGAGACAATTGTGGGTTCACCTAGGTGGGGCACTCTGGGGTGGAAGAAGCTGGACAGCCTGAAAGCGGTGGACAGGGCAAAGGCTGACCTACTGAAGGAGGCAGGCAGCCAAACTTCGGGCAGTTTTCTCACGGGTCTAGTTGCATTCTTGGTTGCGTAGCAGAACGGGTTCTCGCTATCAAGCATGTGTTTGCCAGCTGCGCCGGTGTGTTCGCAAGCGCTCGTGATTTGTATGACTTGCAAGATGTTGTTTTCGCTGTGCAAGTTGGGTGTCTTGGAAGGTGGTTGGTTTGTGTCGCCGTGGCGCTGCGATTTGCGGTCGCCTTTCGTGGCGCGCGAGCGTTTGTTGAGTCATCTCGTTGGCCCTTTTGTGCGAGCTTAAAGTTTGCCGACAGCCCCGTGTGTTTTGGATACGCGTTGTGAACGTATTAAAGTTGGAATGATTGGACGGGGCACGGCTTTGAGCCCTTTCTGCTTTGTCGATGGTTGATGTTCGAAAGCAACCCGCGCACACACACACACACACACACACACACACGCACACACGCGCGCGCAGCAAGACCGCCCAAAAAACACTACCGTCCCGTCCCAAGGCCTTCCCCCATCCCAGGAACAGACGGAATACGTTGGAGATGTCTTTAGCATCTTTTTGGGCAACGGTTGGGCTTTGGGGATTTGGGTCATGTCTGGGCATAGGCTGGGCATGGGCTGGAAATCCAGTTTGGTGTCTGTTTGCCATGGGGGATGTGTTTGGGAATGCGTCTGGGCTTGCGCGGGCTGTACATGCGCCTTTTATCGGGGGGGGGGGGGGGGGGGGGTAGGTGTGTCTTTCCTCCTCAAGGTTTCACATCATGAAACTACGCGCGAAGAAAGTAAGTTTGAGTTTCTTGTTCTTCTGGAAATGTTAGTCTTGGCTCTGCCTTTGTTTGAGTTCATTGGTTGGTTGGTTCGTTGGTTTTCTAAAGGTTGATTACACGTTCCGTGTTTCGTATTTTAGGGTGTTTACTAGTCGTGTTGGGGAGCTGGCTGGCCATTGTGAATACTGGTCGCCATTGCAAAGGCTCGTACAACAAACCCAGGCATACCGGGTGAAGGCGCAGTGGCCATCCGTGGCCCAAATCAAAGCAGCCAAGTGCAACCAAGCAGTCCCTAGCGCCCTCAAGCCGAGGCCTTCTTATGGTTCTTTCAGCGACAGTCGACAAACGGCGGTTTTTCACCGCCTGCGCTTCGTGCACCGATCTTTGGGGTCCGACCCGACAGTGCGACAGGTGGGCCCGTCCTGGTACCTACAGCTCCTGGGCGTAAAGCCAGGCTTGCAGAAGCTCGCCTGCGCAAAGCTGCTCTGTTTGTGGCTTTGTTTAGTGGGCTCCCTACTAACCCTACTACAAGTGATCAACTGATTGTGTTTTTCTTCTACTCGGGTTATTAGTTGCAACTTGCTGCAACTGGCTCGAGGAAAGCGGGCTACGGGCGCAGGCTCCTTGAGGCGATTTGCGCCTTTTCGGACGAGCAGCAGATGCCCACCTTGTTGGACTGCGAGACCGAGTGGCACGAGAACTACTACGGGCGCTTTGGGTTTAGGACAGGGAGAATGGCTGGTCTCTTGGGCAGCAGCCAGGGCTGTTTCAAGTTTCAAGATGAGCTCAGATGTTGTTTGCCAAAGCAAACTGCACTAGCACCGTGAAATGGTAGGTTTGAGTGAACTAGTACTTTCTGAAATTGAAAAAACATATAGAAACAATCAAAATACTGGGGCCAACAACAGTATAGGGAATCCGAATGAACAGCGAGATTGCCAGCCAGGGTTGCTTGCAAAATGTGTTTGGAGGTGCAGCCTTGGGCTCCCTTTGAAAGAGAACAGAGAGGATGCGGTTGTTGAAGCTTGATTGAGCCAGGCCTGCCAAATCCTAGCTGTCCTTCAGGGGCGGGCCACCTAGATTGGCACATGTTTCTAAATTGCCGCGTCTACTTGGAAAGAAAGGTTCTGCGCATCTGGGGGAACACAATGACTTTGCCAAGCACGAACCACTGTCGGACACCTGGACTTTCTGCCCCAAGTTGACTCGCCAAAGAAGTGCTGCTCGTAGGGCAACATGTGTTCAAACTACAACCGAACAATGGGTTGGCTGAAAAGGAAATATGCAGTTGACGCCAACTGAATATTGCGAGTAAGCCAGTCACACCTAATCACAACGCGCATGTAAATTGCAGAGAGTTGCGCGGTTTCCCTTGTTAACTTTGAGAGCTGTGGACGTTTAAGTGTTTAAGCGTGTCAAACAGGTTGGCTCAGCTTCACAGGACCTGGCGCCGGGTAGATCTGGAGGTGAAGGGTTGTGAGGAGAAGATGCCCCAGTTCATCATGCTGCGCCCCCAAGGCAAGGCCAAGGCGGTGTGATCGCCGGGCCCTTTTTCGGAGTGCCCCTTAGTCAGCTTCAAGCATCTAGGCCTGCCCTCCTTTTTCCCGTTTCGCATGCCAATGCTTTGGCAGGATTGCTCCGACCGAACTCGATCCAACCTTCTAAAGATGACATGACAACAAAGCACAAGTGTCGCGAAATGGTGCGTTGTAGTTTCGTGTCGGTTGGTGTTGCTTTGCCACGCAGAAGTGTTCTACCCTCGCACAAGGATTTTGGATGCTTTCGCGAGTCAAGCCGTGGGTTTCACCGCTGCGGAGATTCGGCGCGCGTCCCTGAAGTGGGTCGCAGTCCCGTGCGGGGGCGATAGAATCCCTCCCTGGTTTGTGAAACTCGAACAACTTTGGGGGATTAGATTTCCCTGCTGTCTGCCGTGGCAGGTTGTTCTTTTTTGCGCGCTCTCGCGCGTTTGTGCTACTCTTGCTCCTGCTTGTCGTGAGTGGTTCGACACCCAGAACATGATTGTGTTCAGCTCGCGAAAGTTAACCAGCTGTACAAACGCCCTTCCATTCCTATCATTTCAAATCAACACACGTAGTTGTTGTCGGAGGCGGAGGGGTCTAGCGGCTTGCAGCGAACCTGAGAAGTATGGGGAAGCTGCCCATTGCGCCCACATCACCGTCCCGACTGGGGTTGCCTTCAAGTTGAGGGAGCACATGCGTTGGTTTGCCTGTGTTGTTGTTTTTGCATTGCTCCGCAAGCGGGCCCCGGTCATCCTTTGAATTCACACCCAAACGGGCACCCTCAAAACGAGGAACCACCTGTTCCTCGAAAAAGGCTGCCTGCTATGGTTTCCTCGTCAATCCTACCAAAGAGGGGGCACCGATGGGTGCTGCGTTCATCAGTGATGCTTTGGTCCCCACGATGTACGGGCCGCGCGCCGTATGAAACTTCCCACTTCGAGGGCGCCGTGATGGCCAACCGTGGATCCTTTGAATCTGGAAGGGCCGCAAAATTCAAGAGCCCGAGTGCTGCGACGTTGATTCGGGGATCCACGCTTGAAGGCGGCATCCAAAGATGGATCTATCTAGCCCAAGAGGCCCAGTTGAACTGGCCCTTGTTCTGAGAAGATCCAACCTGAATGCGTGCCATGGTCCAAAGACTTCTCCGTACCGATCCTTCCACTCATCAAAGATCCCTGCTCAGGGTGGTGATTGGTGTCCTATCACCCTTTGACCGCCTTTGTCCCTGCGCCCATTGATGTGGAAGCCGCAGCGGGCGACAGCCTAACTTCCCGCCTGGACACTCAGAACAAAAAAGATGATTGCCAAGTTGAATTGTTGTGTTCTTCTTATTATTGTTCTTGGTATTGTTCTTGTTTGTATTCCTGTTGTTGTTACTGCTGCTGCTGCTGCTGTTGTTGTTGTTGGTGGTGGTGGGCAAGGTGTTGGTGCAGTGTTGATGTGGTTGTTGCTGTTGCTGTTGCTGTTGCTGCTGCTGCTGCTGCTGCTGCTGTTGCTGCTGTTGCTGCTGTTGCTGTTGTTGCTGTTGCTGTTGCTGTTGCTGTTGCTGTTGCTGTTGCTGTTGCTGTTGCTGTTGTTGTTGTTGTTGTTGTTGTTGTTGTTGTTGTTGTTGTTGTTGCTGTTGCTGTTGCTGTTGCTGTTGCTGTTGCTGTTGCTGTTGCTGTTGCTGTTGTTGTTGTCGTCGTCGTCGTTGTCGTTGTCGTTGTCGTTGCCAATGTCGTTGTCGTTGTTGTTATTGCTGTTGCTGATGCTGTTGTTGTTGTTGATGCTATTATTGTTGTTGGGTTAGGGTTTAGTGTTTGTAATATTGGTTTATTAATAAACACTATAGTGTTTAAGATGAATTGAAAACTATAAAAATATAAGATTTTATTAGGATGTGTTTTTTCAAAACAAATATATGACTTCACGAAGGCGCCACACCGATTTTGGCCAGCGATGCCACAAGTTGTGACAGCTTGTTAGAAAAGTGGTGACTTGCGTCACGTGAGATCATCCTGTGGCGTGTAGCCACAAATCGAAACCACATGGCTTGAAAGGCCTCGCCAAGTATTAAGCACCACACACCCCTCAACCACGAAGTGTCGTGGCAATTTCAGCACTGAGGGCATTAACCAAACTCCAGGGATATGGTTGCGCCAGCATTGTCATGAACTTGCCGGTGTTGCTAGTCTTATCCAGACCTGTCAGGGGAACGTGTGGGCGACCCGTCCGGGAGCAAATGTGATTTGATGAAGCACATCGGTTTTCCAGAGAATCCAGACGAAGGAACTTGTAGATCAGCTTGGTGGGTTTCTTCCACTTTTCTCCATACATGCAGAAATCCAAATTACATTCCAAACAGCCAGCATTATGAATAAAACGACGTATCGCAAGGACATCCCATGCCATAGAATTGAAAGGGTTCTCGACAACAAATGGCACCCGCTGCTTGTCGCAAAGTTTCATCAGCCGAAGTGTAAAAAGGAACATCCGGTTACCCTGGCGAAGCTTATATTGATCTGACGGCGTTAGCCCTGGCAGCCCCCAAATATGCTCATTCGTGCGCAAGGGCCCGCTTTTTCTTGCGCGAGAAAAAGTCGTATATGGCATGCCAAACCAGATGAACTTAATGCGGTCTTGCTGAATGAAATGCACAATGGAACGCTCCACATCTTGAGAGAGGACATTGTTGAAGGGGAAAAGACATATATCGATAGGAAAACAACGCTCACCAGCTTTTTCCAGTGCACTTGATAGGCGAGCAGTACCTGCAAATATCCAAGGAAAATTGTCGTGGCCTGTGCTTTATGGTGAACACATCTGGAAACTCAGGACTTGGCGGTACACGGCTCAAAGGAAACGAGCTGGCACCGCTCCTGCAAACACCTTCTCCAAGTTGCGCTCCGACCAGAGGCAGAACTGGAGACTGTGCTGAGTGAGCTTTGTGAGAAGCTGTTGAACACGTCCGATTTTGGCATAGCGGCGGATGCTTTGGTCTGTTTTCCATCGGCCCCTTGACTTCACAGCATTGTGGTCCCGAAGGCCACTGCTCAAGTCGTCTGACGCACCCCCGTGACGAAGCTGGTATGGGTGTAATTGTTCGACACCCAGGGCCTTTCCTGCTGCCACGAACTCCTTCCTGAACTGCTCCGCTGAGAAGGTGAACATCAGCGAGTCCGCACTATTCAGGCTTTTGGCTTTCCTCACCAAAAGATTCCCGATCCACTTGGTCCTCTCGTTGTCGATCCGCAGCGAGTTGTCGAACACGCTCCATTCACCAGCATCCCGCAACATGTAATTCTCGAAATCCACCACCATACGGCGAATTGGTTCCGAAAGGCTCCCCACCAAATCACCCCCTGGCCGCCCCTTGAGGGCAAAGAAAGGAGGTCGAATTTCATAGGGACTGTAGATCCAGAGGTACCATCCGGCACGTCATAGCCAGATGCCTCTGTGGCCCGAAGCACCTTGAGGGCTTCCGAGCGGCATGCAGTAATAGGTGGGCCCAGGTCTTTAACCTTCTCCAAGATACCAAGAATGGCATCTCTCTGTATCAGAGGGAGTGACTTCAAATCTGTCATTAGCTCAGGCATGTTGAAATTATCCCCACCGTAGAAAAGCAAATTCAAAGAACGAATGGCCTTATTCACCCTGCGGGCAATCTGATACTTCAAATCAATTCGTTGCTGAACAGCCCTACACACGTTGCCAGCATGAGGTTCCTCAACATGAAGTAGAGGTAATGGGAACACATCTCGTTGCCGCCCATCGTCTATGCCAGGTTTGTGAAAAATAGCACTGTCCCAAGGCCTCCCCATTGCAGAAAAGCCGATGCAATCCAGCCAAAAACTAGCCAGAACAGCTGCTATAGGCCTGCCTGTGGAACGCAGCAATGCCACAGGCTCGCCCAAGTTCAACCTTGTCCCGCCCCACTTCCACGGCCTTGACCCTTCGGGTCGCCGTTTTTGTGGGGCCCACCACCTTTGCCCTGCCCTCAGGCTTCTGCCAACTTTCTGCGCTCCTTCAAGATCTGACTCTCGGCCTGAAGACCCTTCGACACGTGCTCCTTCAATGCGTGGACCACTATGCCGCCACCAGCACGGCACTGGTTGCCAAGGAACAGGTCGGCCCCCTCGTAGGAAGGTGATGATGGATTCAAGGCATGCGCTTGGGCAATAAGCTGCCTCCGCCGCACGACCAATTCCACACATGCCAAATTCACAGGATTGAGACAGTCATATGTGACACATGTGTCCAAGATTCGTGTAAGGACCTCGTCTTCATGAATTGCGCGGTTGTTGTCGGGGATCTTGGCTTGTTGAATCCATGCAAGGTGTTAAGAGTAACATCCTTCAGATACACTGGTCACAGCCCGAAGATACTCTAAACGCGTGCGCGGCTGCAGCGGAAAATCCTCGAATTCAACCTGGACAAAATCCCCCACTGATTCACGGAAACTTCTCATTCTTTCCCCATTGGCATTGAAAGTGATCGACATTGTACGGACATCCTCGGCCGCTGACCTGTCATCCCCCTCCATGCTCTCACTGGAGCGCGCCAAAGCGATTCGCTCATCGCAGAAGGTGCCCAGGTGATTGTCAGCAACCTTTTTCACTAGGACCACCCGCTGGACGCCACCACCATCGACCATAGCGTGGAGACCATGATCATTGAGTGCGGGCATGTTGGGGGCCACCTGCACATGTTCACCAATCTTATGCCCCGATACCATTTCTGCTAGCACCCAGCGATCCACCGCTGCCGCTACAGGAGCCACCGGGACACCACCAGCTCCACCCGCAGGGAGTGCAAGACCCAACCCCCTGGCAATCCGCTCAGCATCACGCTCAGCACGACCATCCGCCAAGGCTTGGGCGTATTCCCTAGCAGTTATGCCACCGAAAGCATAAATCTGGTCTGGGGGAACACCAAGAGGTAACGATCCATCGGGAATATGAAAAAAGAGGGTGAAATTCGGATTGTCAGGCGCCAACGTCTCAGCATAGATGTCTCGGTCAGGTGTCATGATGATCCAATCTGAATGCTCAACCTGGCTGAGCAATAGTCTGGCATGCACCACCCCAGGATAACCAGCATATTCGACATAGGCTAATTCTCCAGGCTGCATGGCTTATTCAACGATCCACAATCTGCAGCCCTTTTGGAGCCCCGTAGACGCCCTTTCCAGCCCTCCCCTTGATGGATACACTGTACTCTTTCTCTCCACCTTCCAGGTTTTTGACCGTGACCCGAAAAGCTAAAAACAGATTGGTCCCCACCAGTATCACTGCCAGGCACACTCCGACGATGAACAAGAGGCTGTCACCTCCACCTCGAGGCTCCGGCTTGACCGAGCACACGCAGTGGCAAGCCGATGGCTCGGACCGCGGCTGCTCCCGGGGCCCCAGGACCAACCACGAGAGGGCAGCACCACAAATGGCCACAACGATATGGGAAGCGTCCATAACCCGAAAACAGCTATAAGGGGACTTGAGAACAAGACGGCCAAATCCAAGGCTCCAAATTGCGTCACAAACCTATATAATAGGAAAATAATAAAAGTTATGTTTTTAAAGGTGTTTACTTGAAATTGATAAAATTAAGCTTTAGGGTTTAAATGCGTGAAAAATGCAGGAAAAATAAGGATTATATTGATGAAATATATGAATATAAAAAATAAATAAATAAAAGTATAAATGAAAAATTGGAAATTGATTTAATAGAAAAGATTTGATATATTTTTTATAATAAATATAAATAGAAATAGATATATATAGAATAAATTAATAAAGAAAATTATAAATATATTGAATTTACATGTTGTATGTTTTAAATTAAATAGAAATAGAATTTATTGTTGAAATATTCCAAAATCGTTTTTTATTAAATATTTATTCGATTTATTGTTTTCTTTTGAATATTATATATATTTATTTAAAATTATTAATTGGAATATATATTTTTTATATTTTAATTCTATTAAAATTTATTTTGTATATTATTAGAAAGTAACGAAGCTTTATAAATATTTTAATAACTTCTAAAATATTTTTAAATTTGTGTTTATATATATATATTTATTTATATTTATTATTTAATTAAAGGGGTTTAGAAAAATATAAAAATATTGCGATTTTGAGGCTTTGTTTTAGATTTTGCTTAAGTAATTCATTTCGAAAGATTGTATGTTATATTGTATCGGAGACCTAATTTTAGAAATTTAAATATTTAAAAAAGAAATATCTTAATAATCTTAATATATTTCTTAAAATATTGTGTTATACAAAATAATAGTATATTTTAGATATTCGTTATTAATGTGTAACTATATAGTTAGTATAAAATGATTATGTAAACAAGGAAGAACGGATTTATGGATTATTGGCCTCGAAGAAATTAACCCCTATATATAGTTATTATAATATATATAAAAACACTATCGATTAAAAACCATCCTAAAATCAAATAAAACCGAACTAATTTCGCTCGAAACATTAGGAATTACGTCGTTAATTATAACAATCGAATCCGAAAGTAACGACCAAAATGTTTTCGAGTTTTATATCCGGCAATATATATTAATAATTACTATTACTAAATTGAGTAGATTTAAAACGATCCAATCTATATAATCTAAAACATAATATTTTAAACCTTGTCCTTAGCTATTACACACACTTAAACACAATATCCTCCAATTTCATCCTAACTCTCTCAATAACATAAAGAGCGGGCCCTAGATTTTATAAATTCATAACACAATTAGCCTATGTAATATTAATTTCAAACAAGTAGACAAACAAATAAATAGATAAATAAACAAAGACAAAAATAGAGACACAAACAAAGACAAAAACAAAGACAAAGACAAACACAAGAGACAAAGACAAAAACAGACACCGACACAGACACAGACACACAGACACAAACACACAGACACACAGTGTCAAGAGACGGCAAGGCGACGTCCCGTGGGACGCTGTCCACCGAACCCTCCAGCTGCAAACACCAACCACGTAGAAAGGTGTATACGGTCAAATCGTTATAGCAGAACCCGTGTAATTGTTGTAAGGGAGAAGGAATAATAGTTACAACAGTGGTCCTGACAAACGCAGCGCAAGCGAAGTGTTTTTCGCTCTCAATTGCCGATCACGTATGAACGCAGCTTCTCATAAGATCTTGAATCTCACTTGTGACTTGAGCCAAATGGCAATCAATGGAACCTTGTAAGCAACACAAACACGGACCTCAGAACTGCTTCCCAATTTAGGCACGGGGGCCAGGAGGGTTTTAACACCCCCCATTTGGGTCGCATTGTTCATCATGCGGTCCAAACATCACAAAACGGCTTCAGCTACGAAACTGTGTCGAACACTCTTTCATTCACTATTGCTACACCGTCCATTCATTGTGAAATTTGCCAGGTCCAATCAAGGCAGAAACATGCATCCACAAATCGTAGCACATTCCTATACTCAGATGCAAGAGACATTTTGCCTCTAGCCAATACGCAACCACTTGAAATCCCGGCTGCCGCATTTGCGCATCGCGCAGCCGTCCGTCATCCACAGAAATGGGTTGGCCATAGAAATCCATAGTAGCGCACGATCATGAGCCATCTGAATATCATCGGCAAAGAAGATTTGGCGAGCAGTACATGCAAAACATAGCCATTCCAGGTACCACGAATAATATATATATAATCAAAAGGAAATCATCCATGAGGTAATAGTTCCATCCATGATATCCAGCACTCCGAGGACGTGGTCCAGTGGCTTGTGGAGCGGGCTCGCCGCAAGGCGCGCCCCGCGGCGCCAGGGCGCAAGCTGGAGACGGACTGGCAGCAGCTGCTGCTCTGGCGCCAGCGCGGCTTCCGCCGCACTGCGGCGCAGAAGGCTGCGTTTGCCAAAGCGGCCAAGAACATCAAGGCGCGGCTAGCGCGCAAGTTCCCCACCATCCACGGCCCGGCTTCGCGGCCGCACGCGGCCTGGGCGACAACCCGGGCTCAGCATTTCCGCGCCTGGTGTCTCTCCAAATCCTGGCGGATGTGCGGTCTATGCGGCCGAATGGTGGCGCAGCCTTTCAAGGCTCAGCACGCTGCGGGCCGGGACCGGGCGCCGGCCGAGCTGGCTGCCTGCCAGCATTGCAAATCGGAGGGCCGGAAGAAGCGGCCTCTCGGAAAGCGTCGGGGCTGCAGACAAGACACCGGTCAAAGTCTTTGCCTTGCAGGACCTCAGCGCGCTGCCCAGAGCGCTGAGGGTTGAACTTGCACCCTTCGGCCGCGCAGAGGCGGTTTCGGCTGCCCGCGCGCGGCGCAGGCGCAGCGGCCGCCGCGGGGCGCTTCCGGGCGCCGGCTGCCGGTTGCTTCATCACCATGAGCCGCCGCAGTGTCAAGCTCCAAGACAAACACTATCTTGCGCTAGAGCCCGACAGCTTGCAGTTTCTTGCACCTCGCGCTGGTCAAAAACATCCTGGCGCTCAACCCTTGGTCCCAGAAACCTTCGAAGCCTCGGCCGCGCCATTTTTCTAGAAGCTTTGCCGCAAATCGGTTCAGTGACACAGAAGATCAAGAAATATCTCTACCCCCTCATAAGAGCGGTCGCCGGCCAGCCGCGGTTGCCAAAGAAAGCCTCCGCCGGCCGCCAGCGACAACAGCGAGCCAACAAGCAGCCAGGTCCTGACAAGACCGAGAGGGCGAGTCGGAAGTCGAGCGCCACATTGAAACATTGAACTAGCCCAACAGCAACAACGACGCAAGGACGAAGCAACCCGCAGCCGGTGACAACGACAATAACAAGACGACGGGTGCGGGCCAATCGCCTTCCAGCGCCAGCAGCCGTCGCCCAAGCCATCCTTGGCCAAGGCCGGCTGCGGGTCGCTTCATCGCCATGAGCAGCCGCAGTGTCAAGCTCCTAGAAAAACACCAACTTGCACTAGAGCCTGACGGCTTTGAGCCGAGCGCTAGACGCAAGCGGTCGTTTGATCAACCAAACTTGCGCTGGTCGGAAACACCCTGGCAATCAACCCTTGGCTTCCAACAGCCTTTGAAGCCTCGGCCGCGCTTTTTTTCCAAATCGGTGCAGTGACACAGAAGATCAAAAAATCTCTACCCCCTCATACGGTCGCCAGCCAGCCGCGGTTGCCAAAGAAAGCCTCCGCCGGCCGCCAGCGACAACAGCGAGCGACAAGCAGCCAGGCCCTGACAAGGCCGAGAGACGAATCGGACGTCGAGCGACACACATTGAAACCGTGAATCTAGCCCAACAGCAACAACGGCGCAAGAACGAAGCGACAACAGCAACGCCTCAGCAACAAGAAGGCCGGCGACGATGACAACAACAACGGCGGGCCAATCGCCTTCCAGCGCCAGCAGCCGTCCCTGGCCAAGGCGCCCGCGGAGTGTGGAGCAGTCCTGACAGGGACGGGGCGTCAAAAACGGGGCCAAACCAGTGTCGATTTTAACATAGGGAACAGTCCTACACACTCTTTTAAGCACTTGAAGTTCAACAGGGCAGGCGATCGGCAAGATCCTTTCGTCTGGATTTTTCTTGCGGCTCCGTCCCAAAAAATAGCAAAGTAAAGAAATCCAGACAAAAGATTCTCGCAACATCGCCCCAATGACATGTTCACTTAATGTTCTGATTTAACGACGCCCGACTTAGCGCTCGAGGCCTTCGGGAACCGGCGACCGCGGGCCCCGAGCCCACGCGCGGCCCGGCGCAGAACTCTTGCAAAACGCTAGCGCTGCGCTAGCCCCGAGCCGAGGCCGCGCGAGCGCTTCGAGCCCAGGCGCTGCTGGGAGGCGCAAAGGCCCTGAAACCAGGTTCCGGCGGACGGCCGCCCGCAGGGGTGGCCGTCCATCCGTAGCCTCGACGGACGGCCGCCCCCCCAGCGGCGGACGGCCGCCCGTAAAAGCGGCCGTCCGTCGGGCTCAGCGCTTCCAATTCCGGGGGCGGCCGTCCGCCGCCAGGGGGCGGCCGTCCGTCGTTTTCGGCCTTTGGGGGCGGCCGTCCGTCGTTTTCGGCCTCGAAGGCAACCGTCCGTTGTTTTCGGTTCCGGGGGGCGGCCTTCCGTCGCTTCAGCCACGGGGGCGGCCGTCCGGCGTTTTCGGCCTCGGGGGCGGCCGTCCGTCGCTTTCAACCCTGGGGGCGGCCGTCCGCCGTTTTCGGCCTCGGGGGGTGGCCGTCCGTCGTTTGCGGCCTCGGGGGCCGGCCGTCCGTCCTTTTTGGACCTCGGGGGGTGAGGGCGGCCGTCCGGCGCCGGGGGTGGCCGTCCATCGTTTTCAGCCACAGGGCGGCCGTCCGTCGTTTTCGGTCCTTGAGACAAGCATATGACTACTGGCAGGATCAACCAGGTTCCTTGGGAAAGAGAATCCTTTGCAGCGCAAGCTTGTTTTTGCGCTCAGAATGCTTGGAAGTGCGCCCTGCCTCTGTTTTCGAAGGAGTCGATATCAGATCCCGGCTCGCGGTCTCAAGGGGTCGTACGACCCCTTGGAGGATCCCTCGTTAAGGCTTCATTGCAAGTTTTAGGGTTTAACTATCTATACAAAGGTCAGTACTGACCTCGAACCCCGTTCTAGCGGTGGCACGACATCCCCATTGCTCGCTTGTTCCATTGCAGTTCTGGCATATGCTCGCAGCGCGGGTTCCAAGCACTTCGGCGTGGGGGTTTACATCGGCGGCCTAAACGGCCGCCGGAGAGTGGACCCCCTAGTTTAGGGTTTAGGGTTTAGGGTTTAGGGTTTAGGGTTTAGGGTTTAGGGTTTAGGGTTTAGGGTTTAGGGTTTAGGGTTTAGGGTCAATCCAAATCCCAGGATAGCAAATCACAAGGAGCGCTTCATCCACAGTTTCTAGTTGAAAAACACCACCCACCCAAGCTCCCATTTCATTGGGCAGCCAAATTTTTGGCGACAAGTTGGAGCCCGTTGCCGAGCGGCTGAATCGCGCGCTTTTTAATTGCAAACTATCAGCCACAGGATCTTGGATTTGGACGAAAAAAGCTTCGAAGGTAGAGTTTTTGAATAGAAAGTTTCATAGCAAGAGTTCGACGAAGCAAGTTGAGCCGCGCTAGCAGCGCTGAGTTGAGCCACGCGCTGGTGCTGGGTGAGAAGCGCTTCAGAAGCAATTCCCATGGCTTGGCGATGGTTTCGAGCTCGCAGCTAGTTTGCGTTGGTGCAAATCCCACTGGCTTGGCAACGGTTTAGGTCTCGCAGCTTCATCAAAATGAGCGCCGCGCCACAACGAGAGCGATTCGACTACGCGAAACTCCGCAGAGGGTCGCGCGAGCGATTTGAAAATCGCAAAAAACCACGAGTTTTCGAAGGTCGACTAGCCCAAACTCCGCAGAGGGTCGCGCGTGCGAATTGAAAATCGCAAAAAAAGCACAAGTTTTCGAAGAATGAGAAGCGCTTCAGAAGCAATTCCAATGGCTCGGCCACGATTTGGAGCTTGCGCTAAGAACGCTCTGGAGCAAATCCCACTGGCTCGGCAACGGTTTAAGGTTCGCAGCTTCAAGAAAATGAGCGCCGCGCCACAGCGGGAGCGATTCGACCACGCGAAACTCCGCAGAGGGTCGCGCGAGCGATTTGAAAATCGCACAAAACCACGAGTTTTCGAGGGCCGACCAGCCGAAAGTCCGCAGAGGGTCGCGCGGGCGAATTGAAAATCGCAAAAAACCACGAGTTTTCGAAGGTCGACCAGCCCAAAGTCCGCAGAGGGTCGCACGGGCAATTTGAAAAACGTAAAACACCACGAGTTTTTGAAGGTCGGCGGCCCAAAACCACGACAGGGCCACGAAAAACCGCGCGCCAAGTAGAGGCTCCAAAATGACTGCCCTGCCAGCAAACGAGGATCGGGAAAAAAGTTTAGGGTTTATGTGCTGACAGGGCCAACGTTTTGGAGGGCTGAAAAAGCGCTGGACACTAAACGCATTTTCCCTTTAGGGTTTAAATTAATATAGATAAACAAGTTTAGGGTTTAGGGTTTAGGGTTTAGGGTTCAAAGACTTCAAGACGTGGATTTTTCAAAGCGAAGACCATCCAAAGCTTCGATCTCAATCCCACCCACCCAGATCCCATTACCAAGGGCCAGCCTCAACAAGTTGCCGGCGCAACCTAGAAAACCGAATTTGGGGGCGCGCGGTGGAAGCCACGCGGCGAGAACAACGAGCAAGCGGTTGCGAGCAGCAGCAGCCGTGCGCGCGGGTGGTGGGCAGCAAGCAGCGAGCGATGAGGCGCACGCGGCAAGCGACCCGTCGCCAAGTTCCTCGCCAGAGGAAAAGCAAAGGCAAAAAGTTGGGCCGACATCAAGCTCGCTTGGCGCGCACGTTGGCTCAGCAACACTCTCGTTTCAAGAAAACGAGCGCCGTGCTGCAAAGAACGCTGTCTCGACTGCGCGAGGCCGCGCGGAAAGACCGAGCGATTTGAAAATTGAAGAAAATCTGCGTGCCGCCGGATTACGTCGTCGGCCGGAGCTGCGTGTCTCGACTTGGAGGAAAAACTTCACAAGTAGGTTTTTGTAGCATGAACTGTAATAAGGAAAATTGAGCCGCGCAATGGCTGAGCGAGAAGCGACTTCAGAAGCAGCCCCGCGACTTCGAGCGGCTGGAAGCAGAAATCCGTGGCAGAGCCACAAAAACCCCCGGCAGCCCGAAACCACGACACGGCCGCGCAAAACAAGGCGCGCGCCAGGGAGGAACCGAGCCCGGGACCACCCGCTTCAGAGACGGACGCAAGACCACTGGGCCACCAGGCCCGCGGCGGGGCCCCGGCGCGCCCACGGCTCAATTGCGGGCGCAAGGCCCCAGCCGGAAAAGCGCGCAAATTTAGCGTTGCAAATTTTTGCGATTTTGGCCCCGATCTTGGATTTGAGTGGCAAGCCAGATTTAGCAGCCTGCGGGAAGCGCGCAGAGCCGAAAACGAAGCCCCGGGAAGAGCGCATACATTATCGACCAACTCTTAAATATATACTTAGAAGTTAGAATTGTGTT